GATGTCGCGATATGCGACCGTAATAATGATGGTACTTCCGCAAGGTCACGCCACACGGACACGGACGCACACGCGCGCGCAAACGACTCGCCCCTCTCCCGCCCCGCCGAAAACGAAAGGTCCCCGCGATTTCACCAACGAAGAGAGTCCCCATGCGCGCGGGCACGCGAGGAGAGAGAGAGAGAGAGAGAACACGCATAGCCTCTCGTATCCCGCGCGTGTCGCACGCGAGGTGCACACATGCACGAGCAGGCCTCGCGCAAACACCCTTCTTTCCAAAACGGTCGGGTCCCTTTTCGCGGCGGGCGAGAGGATTTCCGCTCGAAGGATCGACCGCGCGAGATCGATCCTTCCTTCCTTCCCCCCCCCCCCTCCCTCCCTCCCCACGCCGCCGACGAAGTCCGGGAAGCTCGTTCTTTCGCAGGACGGGAGAGGAGGTTCCGTCGTAGCCGGGTCGATAGGACTCATCAGGACGCGAGCGGGTTTTCGTCGCCGCGGCGCCCGCCATCCTCCAGCCGGAGATTTCGAATTTCGAACGCTGTACGCCCGCCGCCGGTTCTGCCCTTGAATTTCTGTCCGTTCGAACAAACGACTGATAACAAAGCGCGCGAAGGGCGCGAAACTCTGGGGAGCGGGGGAGCAAGGGGGAGGAGACTGGGGGGGAGGCGGGGGCGACTCACCTGAACGTCGAGGCAGCGTTTCGGGGTGAAGCGAAAAAGCGCCATTCCTTATCCTGCGTGGGCTGTATCTTGCGCGGGTGTCGCGTACCCTCGAACTGACCGACTCGACCGTCTAACTAATCGACCGGTGACCACGCGGTGCTGCGGCGCCCCAAACTCGACTGGCCCCGCCGCCGGTCGCGCCGCTCTCGCCGCCGCGCGGCGCGCGCACGCGCCTCGACCCGCGGCGCGCTTCAGACCGCTCAGGGGCGGCCGCGGCGGCGGCCGGCGCCCCGCGCTCAAGTTTTCTTTACTCGACGGCCTTTTTCGTCACAATCGCCTTTAGTATCACCAGAGAGAAACCTGAGAGCGGCCGCGCCGGCGTTTCTACTCGATTGCCGTTTCGGGATACGGTTTCGCGCGGCTCTTACGCCCATTTTTACTTTTCTATTTCATTGCGCACTTTCTGACCCCGCCGATAAAATTTCCACTTGGCGCACGTCTGACGTGCATTCTGATATCTGATTTATAAAATTTACATTGTCCACATGAGAAAAGTTGATGTAAATATCATGCAGATAATTTATGTAATAAGAAAATCGGTCTAATATTGATATAATATTAAACTATAATTGCTAAATAGACATATTGGCTAAATAAGAGAAGGCGTTCATCTTATTGGACCAATATTGGGAATACTAGATTTACATTATTTCCCAATATTCTACTTCTTCCTCTGTGGATTCGAACTCGGATCTTTTCGTTCAATTGTTTACTGAGCAGCGCACATTTCTCCGCGCCACACTCGCCGCCATTTCCCAATATTGCGCCAATATATTATGCTACTAGGGTGTTAGCGCTGAAAGCATCGGTCTATCTTCGTCACTTGTATCCTCTTTTATCAATAAAAGCGCCTTTAGGGGATTTACAACACGGACCTTTAAGTCAAACGAAGATGGAAGACGCTTTCAGCGCTAAAAGCGCGCTCCCCGCACGTATTCTTTTTCTAGTTTTACGAATTGGAAAACAGTAAGAAGAAGACAAGTAATGTAAACCGAGACTAAAGTTAATCAGCATTGATAGAAACGGGTATCATTCTTAGAAAGAGATAAAAAGTAAGTTAAACCGAGACTGAAGCGCCCTAGTAGCACAATGCACTGGCTAAACATTGGCCCAATACAACTAAATGTTAGGCTTAGGTTTAACAAATGTTTGGTTGATGCACTGTGCTGCTAGGGCGTCCACGTGATTGACCCTGACGAAAATGAAGATCGGAGCGTAAGCAAAATGCTAATAAAGAATGACGGAAGTTTAAATGAAACTTCTAGGAAGCGTAAATTAAAACAGCGGAATGTAAAAGAAACATTTTAAGAACTTAACATCTCTTTTACGTTCCGCTGTTTTAATTTACGCTTCCAAGGAGTTTTATTTACTTTTCTGTCAGCCTCTACTTACACTTGCCTTACGCTCCGACTTTTATTTGCGTTAAGGGAATGACAGTAACGATTGATTAAACTGATTAACAGTAATTAAAATAAGCGTACATTAACTTATTTTGTTTCGGGCGAAACGTCAGCCTGCGCCGACTCCTTTTTCCCCGAACTAGACCTGTGGTATCCTCTGGAACGTGAATCCGGAGCACAGTGGATTTCCGTCCCGAGTTTCCCGCTTCTGACCAATTCTACGCGCTCGCACACTTCCGCCACCAACGATAATCTATAAATACATGCACACGTAACACGCGTGTGGAAAAAGGTCATCTCTTAAAAATTCCGTCTCGCCTGAAAACTCCGTTTACCTATTTAGCGTGAACAGGTGAAAACCACACGTGGCTCCGCTGCGAATCGCGTCCGCAACGATCCGCGCGACCAGGTCGACCGAATATCTCCTCGCCGCCCGATCGTCGTCCTTCATCCGCGCCAAATCGTTTCTAATTACGACCGGCACATCGAGCCCGCACGTGCTCGCCATCCTCTCCAGACACGCGTGACTCGCGGGCGCGAGGATCCCTGGTAGGATCGGGACTCGAATTCCGATCTGCCGGCAGTCCCTCACGAAGTCTATCAGGACTTGAGATTCGAAGCATATCTGCGTTATGATGAAATCCGCGCCCGCCTCCACCTGGAAACGTTTACGCAACCTGGAATCACGTTGCTCGGGCAATTACCCTCCCACGCAGCAAAAAGTGTCAGAAAGATATCTGGGAGACACCTAAATACTACGGTGTCTGATACGAAAAGAAGACTATTCAGAAATTGCTCGGATACCCGAGAGATATAATAATTGAGCTTGTAATCGACCATAACTGGCAACGTGTCTTTAACACAGAAAACTTCGAGACAGATCCCTGGCTGAGGTAACATTTTTCGCAATATATTGTCTGTGTTAAAGACACGTTGCCAGTTACGGGCGATTGCAAGCTTAATTATTGTTGGTCATGTACTGGCGTCAAATAATTCTTGATGTTATATGAGAGATATCTTCCAGATTCTAAAAAAGTATTTCATCTGAGATGCGATATCTGATTTTATATCAAATATTAGATATCTGTACTTTAGTGAAATCAGATTTTACATGTTACAGAATAGGCAATGTGATAGATAAAACATACTGTTTTCTTTATCAGTTCCGACATAAATTATCATCCACGATATCTCAAATACGACCGGTGAAATAACCATTTAATTTTAATGTTAATCTTAAATTTAAGTTTAACTTGATGAAGGCACTGTGTGCCGAAACGCGTCCCGCGGATCTACACTTCGACTGTAACATCTTGAAGTTCAAAATATATATTGCTTTGTTAATTTTCGTGCTCGTCAAGATTGGCCTCCTTTGTTTACTTGTCGATCTAATTCAAGTCCCAGATATATTTTGCTACGTGGGCAATGCATCGCTCGTTTTACTTTTGCCTTCAGGTGACGCAGGTCGAGCTCCTTGGTGGGCGACTCCGGATGCGTCTGCGGATAACCGGCGACGCACACGCAGAAAGTGTCGCCGAACTGCTGCCTGATGAAGGCCACCAGATCCGCCGCGTGCTCGAAGTCGCCGTTCTTGGCGGACGAATCTGCAAGTCGGGCCGGACGTGTACTCCCCTGGCTGAGACACCACGGGGAGAGGCGATCGATAAGGTCGAGCCTCTCGGGGACCGGTTTTATCGCGAATTCAATTCTCCCGGCTCTGATAATCGCGGGCATACGAATCGGTTTATAGTTTGCAATCGGTTTAACGGTACATCGCGATTCGATCTGCGGGATATTTCGAGTCTACCGGAACGCGCAGGCCGCAGGAAAAGAACGCAACTCCGGGAACTCGAGTCGATTTGAGGGAGACTTTGAACGAATTCCAATTATAAGGCCCGGTTTCATCAACGTTGTTTAACTTTCAAAAAGAAATAGCTAGTCCTATTGTGATCGTTACATCGGATGGACGTGCCTTCTGGCATAGTTCTCCGAGTGACGCCCAGAGATGGATGACGAACTCCTGTGCCGTTTAGTTTAATATCAATGACGTAATATTATTGTTCAATTCCTCGACAAGGACCACAACCCGATCGAAACGTCGGATTTAAACGAGGAAACCATCTGCCAGCCTAAAGTCGTCTAACAATTCTTTTTATCGTTCAACTTTGAGCTTAGCTCAATTCGTTCCTCGTCTCTTTCCGAGGGAACAAGTTGGAAAGGGACGAAGGGTGAATCGAGCTGGCTTAAAGTTAAGCGACGTTGGTGAAACCGGGCCTTAGACAGTGAGTTCGGCCGAGAAGTCCTGGAAGTCGGCGACTGATTACCTCCTCGCAATGCAAATATATTAACTATTCCAAGGGCGAGGATCTTTCTCAAAATGCGAACGACCTCGTCGCGCTTCAGACCCTTAGCCGCCAGATGTAGGAGGGTATTTGGCGGAAAATTCTCCGCCAGGTCCAACGGCAGGTAGCTATCGTTGCTGGAGGCCGCCTCGTTGTGCCAAGTTAGCGCGTAGAAGAGCGGCGAATACTCCTCCATGTCTGCGAGAAGCCTAATGTCCGCACCATATATAAATACACATGTTATATATGTACAATACATTTATGTATAAATATATTTTTTAAATGTGTATCTTTGCGCTACATCCCTATTTAAAATATTAGATAGAATCTAGTCAGATTACATCAGACCGCATGCAATTTCAATGTAACTAAACAAGAGAGTCTTATCAATTTTTCTATCTGTTATTTTAAACGAGGATCGCCTTCTCGAGAAGCCAAGCTTGATATTGTTTAAAAAAGAATCTAAGATCGCGCACAGTTATAACCTCATTAAAATACCAAGCGAATCCTTAGTCGAGACTCTCGTGTCTCGAGAGAGAGAGAGAGAAGAAAAGCTTGCCCCTCGCGTCGCCGTAAAATCGTTCCAATTAAAAATCATCGGCATCGCAACTCCGACTTTCTCCCGTTATACAGACCTGCGGTAGAACGCGCCGGGTTTCCTCGTGGAAACGATCTCGAAGCTACAAAAGATCTCGTTTTTCCTAATTTTGTCTCTTAACGATCGTCGCAGGTCCACGCTGGTGCTGCGAGCACGAGGGCAGCGCGTGGAGGGACCGTCCTCGCTGTCGGCGTCGCTCCACGTGTCCGTCTCGAGGATCAGGTTTCTCATTGTGGATTAGCGATAGCCGTGAATCAAAACGTCGATACTCTTATTCCGCGGTCCATACTAACGGCCTGCGTTGTATTATGTAACGTACAGCGTGGAGATATCTCGCGCAGTGATGTATGTACACTAGAAAACACTGATGCCGCCCCTTGTGAATTTAAGCACACGTAGAACACATAGTATACATTTTCCATGTACACAGACAGGCAGGAATGCCTGGACACACCTCTATACTGTATTCTACAAATCTAGCAATGTCCTGCCTGTCCGTTTACGTATGTATAACGCAAAGTGTATAAATGTGCTGATATGTGCACAAATTTATGTGGAAAGGCATCAGTGATTCCTAGTGTACAGTGTGGAAAAGTGCGCGCAATATTACATACAACAAGAACGATATAAATATAACATGTACGTGCAATCTTTATATTATGAAGAAAAAAAGATGCCCGTCGATTTCCGGCGCGAACTGTTGCACGTACATCGGAAATGTATAAAATATACATACATGTTTGTTTCTAGATTTTCTTTCAGTCTGGTAGCAAGTCGCTTATTTTGAAACTGGTCCCGTAATACTAGTTCGAGTTCGAAGCATTGTGGACTTTAACGACCGCGCAAGTCTACGCGGCATTTACGAGACTTCGGCGGAGCTGCTGAAGAAAGGGCTGCTACAGTACTGCTCTAATACGAGACCGTTGTCCCTTTTATTTTTGTCAGATCCGTGCGGCACGTGCCTCCCGATTATTTCCAAACAGTTGTACACCCATCGCGGTGCCAAGAAATTGTATTAAACAAAAGTTATCGCAACTACGAGTTGCTCCTTCTCAAGTACAGCCTCCGGCAGACCTCTGTAATCGGTATGTCGGACACAGCCGGTATCCCGCCCAGGGTGGTCTCGGTCTTCGGCAGAGCGTACTTATCCGTGATGGTCCGGATGTCGTCGATATCCGGAGTTATCAGCATGTTGATAGCTGGATAGACGAGAAACGCGAACGTGGCCAGGGCGGTGAGCGCCCATATAGGCACCGCGACTGCCCAGTACTTGGACGGCCAGTACGTCAGGCCCAGGCGATCGTGCAGCACCTCGTCTGGTATTATCGCCCATATCGCGTACAACAGGAAGAGCATATTCGACCCGATATACATGGCGTATCCGTAGACGGCCCTGGGGCCGTAAGGCGCGGGAGTGTGCTCCATGGCGTGCGTATATACTGAAAACTCGACAATCGCCGAAAGTGTCGGCTCAGTAATGAGCGTACGTCGGTTCAGGTGGGCCGAATTGTTGAATGGTCTCCGTGACCAGCAGTAGATTTTGGAAGAAGGACGTGAGGCCTACGCGCACGCTCCTCGCTTCCTTGCCGCTGAACGACCTGCGCAGGAAACGGCGAACGATCAGCGGGACAAGGTACACTAGAAATCATCGATGCCTTCCCATATCAATTTATGGCAGATGTAGAACACACACGTATACATTTCCCATGTATGTATATGCAAAGTGTATAAATGCCTGGACGTTTCTATAATGTGCTCGATAACTATAGAAATAGAGACGCCCGCCCAGAGTGTCGGGAGGTCCAGGTTCAAACCCTGACTGAGGTGATATCATTCGCAATGAATTTCTTCAGTTAGAATTTGCCAGCCATGGGTCGTCAGGCAATTTTCTACGCTGGTTACTTATAGAAATGTCCAGGCACCCCTGCCTGCCTGTGTACAAAGGAGATTCGAGCGACGTGGCGACTTACGCCTCCAGAAGGTTGTCGTTCAACGTGAGCTTCTTGGTGACTCCGCTTCTCGACGGCTCCTTGTCGACTCTGAGCACTTGGTACGCGACCTCCGCTTCTCTGGCGCTCGGGAAGGGCACGGACAGCTCTCTGTGTTAACGTTAAGGTTTCAAATTGAACGACGAATCCCATTACGAATAGATGATTTGTAAGATAAGGATACATACACCCTGAGGTCACTCATGGCATTCCGCGGCAACGCCTTCTTCTTCTTCTTCTTATCTATATGGCACCTGTCTTCCCGCGACGATGCCGACTGTCCAGATTGAAATCCCCGTTGCTCTACAAGCATAAATTAGCAACGATTAGGCACACCGCAAGATTGATGGCCGATGAGGGGATCCTAAACTCATCTGTTTTATCGACACATTCGAATGCAGTTTTTGCGCTGGTAAATCTTTTTATTGGCTTTAACAAAATAATGCCGGGACAAGTCGCGGATCGCACAGCAGAACATTCTCATACTTAAAACACTCGTGCGCGCGATAAAAAAAAATTGTAAATTTCAAATACCAATATCCTTTTCACTAGACTTCTGACCCCCGAGTGTTTCAAGTATGAAAACGCTCTGCTATGCGGTCCGCAGCTTATCCTGGCATTATTTTGTGCGCAAAAGACAATTTACCAAAAACGATATTCGAACGTGTCGATAAAACAGACGACTTTAGGGTCCTCTTTGATAGGTTAACACGGCTCTGTGATTGGTCAACGGTACATTAAGTGTACACTTAAGACGATCTGAAATATAAGAACGGACTATGAATACCGGCGGCAATGTCGCCTATCTCGGAAATTAATTCCTCCGGCCTCCCTCGGGAAGAGACGTTCGCTGACGTCGCGAGATAACCTCAAACCGACCGCGATTACTCGCGCGATACTTGACGCGGCGCGAAGCCACGGCGTGACGGCAACGCTGCTCAAGGTCCACCGTAGGAAACAATGAACGCGTTTCCACGCGCGGCGATTAATGCGACGGGCACTCGCTCGCGTACTTGGGAGTGCGCGCGCGTGTGGGCGTTGCTGACGTCGAGCGTGTCGTCTCGTGGTAAACACTATCGCGCTTCGTGGAAACGGGGGCGCGGGACGAAGAGCAGGGTCGCACTTACCAAGAATCCTTATCCGGCCCTCCTCGGAATCGTTAGACTCAGGTAAATAATGATTGGTATTCGTGCGCTCACGTTCGCCGCTCGCCGAGTCTACAGTGCCCTCCGCTGTTTGTAGGTTATGACTGACAGCTGCGTTTATTTACCGCTCGCGTCGTCGATCAGCTCGGATCTCACTTGATACCGCTGGATACCTCGCTGCTGGGCGGTAACGGACGAGCCAGTACTATGCGAGGCGTCGTGGTAGCGGCAGACAGCTCGCCGGGGAATCGCGCAAAGAGATGTCTACGTGTTCGTCTACTTAGCTAATTAACGTAACTGTGATCCCCGCGATTATTTATTCAAGACCAGCTGCATTTCGCGTACGTCGGATGTCGACGGGGGACCGGGATTGCTCGAGCTCGCCCGCGCACGGAACAGTCCCGCGACCAAGGAGCACGGAGTACGCCGCCCGAGGATACGCTCGAATGTCATTTGTCCAACACCCGGTGTAGACGTCAGACCATGAACGGGCCGACGAGGGATCTGCCGTGGGGCCTGCAGTGCGCGCGATGCGCGTGCAACAGCCGCTGCGAACACTATCGCGTCAACTGGATGGCCTGGCACCAGGGGGTCGTGCTGACGCTCACCTACCTGGCGTACACCTGCTACCATCTCACCCGGAAGCCGATATCCGTGGTGAAGAACGTGCTGAGTCTCAACTGCAGCGGCCTGCCGGTGCCCGCGGACGTTCTGGTCAACGACAGTAACCGGGACACCTGGTGCGACTGGGCTCCGTTCGGTGAGGAGAGACAGGCCGACCGGAGTCTCTCACTGAAGGCCAGGGTCTGGTCGATGGACGGCAACTTCCTTTTCTTTCTCGGGGATCCGTCGACCTGGGGTGCGTTCGAGAGCGCAGCGCTAAGCAGCGCCGATGGCGAGCTCCCGGACGCACCCTTGGTCGTCATTTGGCTCTGGCAACTTCCGAAAGGAAGAAAGGAATAGAAATGGCGAACGTGTATCTCTCTCTCTGGCAGAATTTCGCCAGAACCGGCCAGACTCTAAGCTGGAGGGACTCCCAGAGCGACGGAGCGCAAAGCGATTTATTGGGACGCGCGAATAATTCCATGCTTTTTTCCCCCGCAGACACCAAGGATGCGCCTGCGTTGCTCGGTATGCTGGACTCGGCGTTCCTGTTCGCATACGCGTTGGCTATGTTTCTCAGGTGGATACCTCGAAGTGACTTAATTTTTTACGCCATTTCTGCGGAATTCGGTCAGTAATTTTTGTCTTGTTGTACAGTGGATTCATCGCGGAGAGAGTAAACCTGCGATACTTCCTCTCCATCGGTATGCTCGCGTCAGGCATATCGTGCTATCTATTCGGAATAGCTAAACCGTACAATATTCACAATCTGTGGTACTTCGTTTTCGTGCAGGTATGTCTACGCTAAAACGACGATGTTCCCTGTCTCTCTCTCTCTCACGCACTTCTTCCTTTCCCCGTGCGCAGGCGTTAGGTGGAATCTTTCAGACTTCCGGATGGCCAGGCGTAGTGACTGTCGTGGGCAATTGGTTCGGAAAAGGCAAGCGCGGCTTGATCTTCGGGGTGTGGAACTCCCACACGTCCCTGGGAAATATATTGGGCAGCTTGATCGCGGCGGCGTACGTCGAGTCCGATTGGAGCCTGAGCTTCATAGTCCCCGGAGTGATAATGGGACTGGTGGGGTTCATTGTCTTCCTGTTCCTGATACCGAATCCCCTCGACGTGGGGTACAGCTCGCCCGCTTGCCACGGATATCGGAAAATTGATGTAACAAATAGCTCGGACGACGACTCGACTGACGTAGGTTACGAATCTCACGGTATCACCGACGTAAGTTCCCTCGCTGTCGCACACTCTTACGCTTCTTTATCCAACGAACACTGGTACGGTAGACTCTGGCTAATCCGGCCGCTCGTTGCGACTACTTTGCTTTTAATTTTGGCGGACAGAATTGATAAATTATGTATTCTGCTCACTTTGTTACCCTAAATAGAAAAAAAGAAGTTTTTTGGAAATGGTAAGTCGTGATAAAAGAAATACAATCAAGAATTAAAACGACCTAGGCTGGCAAATCTTTTTATTCAATAAAATTAAATTACGACGTTTCGGCCAGTAATACTGGTCCTTTTCAAGTATATCTTACATTACCAGCACAAAAGGTTTGCCGGCCTAGGTCGTTTTAATTCTTGATTGTAGAAAAAGGAACTACTGAAACTCTGATGAACTACTACAAAAGTTTCATGGACTTTCAGTGATCTGGCACATCTTTTTAAGGAATGGCCGGATTAGCGAGAGTCTACTGTACTAGCATAGTAGATTTGTTTTTCATTTTAAGGAGCATAAAATTTTGTACCTAACGCACTACTTGTTAATTAACATGGCATGTAATAGCACGTAATGTAGCATGTAATAGCATGTTCGTAATTATAAGGATTGTCTACGATTTCCACGATTACAATTTTTGTTTCTTTTAGTTTTCCTAGGGTTTGTTTTTAGTAATGCAAGCGCCAAGATTAACCGTTAAATTATTTTTAGTAGAATTATAGTTTGCACTTCCCGTAATACATAAGCATCTACTGTACCTAGCGTACTGAACCCGTCATCTATCGCTGCGTCTACCGTGAACAAGTTGCTGCCGACGTAAGTGCATGCTACTTTTTCCATACAGTTAGCGCTTCTATTTTCCATCGAAATGTAACGCCAATCCACAGACGTAGTAAATATAGGCTGAGCGTCCCATTGAATAAGCTGAAGCTTGTGAAGAGAGAAACAGAGATTTGAGAAGACTTTCTTTCTCTGATTCTTTTCTTTTACGATGGTTGTAAGACAGAGAAAGAAATTAAATTCCCCCTCTCTCTTCACAAACAAGCTTCAGCTTATTCAATGGGACGCTCAGTCTATATTTACTATGTCTATGCTCCAATCGCGTGTTATTTCAACAAAAGATTGCATTTTATGTGTTATACACATTCAGGTTGATATTCTGCATCCTCTTTTATCGCAAAAAGTACCACCAAAATTGGTTTTGAGAGATTCTTATTGGCTGAAAAAAGGATCTTTTTGCAAGCACTTTTATCGATGAAAAGTCCTAATATGGGTCTTAGTTTATTCTTGAACCGAACAAAAATATCCTGAGATAGCAGCAGCGTGCTACTATTTTCTTAATAATTGCTTCCTTCTACGTGTATAAAGGAACATGTAAAAGCATTAGTGATATCTCGTGGAATTTATGTCTAAAAAGAATACGGCGAGCGGACGATCTGAAACCAGCCCGATGCTGCCTGGACACCGGCGTGACCATAGTACATCTGGTAACAACGCGATAGGCTTCATAGGAGCCATAAAGATACCGGGTGTTATCGAATACTCCTTATCGCTGTTTTTCGCGAAGCTCGTCAGCTATACATTCCTCTACTGGCTACCGTTATACATCGCGGCTTCAAGTTGGTATTCGTGGCGGCATTAATCACCGACCAGCAAGTTCAAATTTCACCTTGCAATTCTAACAAGAATTTCCCTTTCGCAGCTACATACAGCGCGACTATGAGCGCGGACCTGTCGACTTTTTTCGACGTGGGCGGTATAGTGGGCGCCATAGCAGCCGGAGTTCTCTCAGATTACAGTGGCATGAGCGCGTTGACATGCGCCGCGATGTTCGGTCTTGCATTTCCTGCGGTGAGCGCCACATTTTCCTTGATACATGTCAGAAATACTTTTGACAATTTTGTGCGTAACATGTGTTTTGTAATATTTAAAAGACTGCACAAATTGGCGATCTATTGCACGAGATAAATTTGAAGCAATTAATACAACATTTGTCGTACGACAAATTTTTCCAAGCACGGCTGCGGAGAGCAGCAAAGAAGACTTCTTGTGTAGAAAAGTCCTCGAGTCACTAGAAATATTCTATTCTGCAGCCCAGCAAAACGCTTGAAAAATTTGTCGTACGACCAATGTAATAGCACCCTAAGGGCCTGAGCAGAGTGGCTGTCTTGTATTCCTAAGTCACAAGACGGTTATTGTGCGTTACCTCAAGATAAAGGCTTAAAACATAAAACATCGTTTTAAGAGTACAAGACAGTCCATTCTGCTCAGGCCCCAAGGCCGGTATTACATTCGTCGTACGACACATTTTTTAAGAACGTTGATTCGCTGCAGGATAGAAGATTTTAAGATACTCTAGAACCTTACTAGCCTGGAAGCATTCAACGTGCACGACAAATGTAATAGCACCCTAATATAATACGTGTATTCTATGTTTCAGTTATTTATATACGATTATGTTGGAAACACCAGCCTAGGCGTCAATATAGTATTGTTACTGATAGGGGGGCTATTGGTGAACGGCCCCTATGCATTGATAACGACCGCTGTGTCGGCCGAACTTGGGACTCATTCTAGTTTAGGGGAAAATTCCAAGGCCTTGGCTACAGTGACTGCCATTATCGATGGAACCGGTAGTATCGGTGCGGCGGTTGGCCCGTTGCTGGCAGGCCTAGTGTCTCGATGGGGCGGATGGCACCATGTATTTTACATGCTCATGTGCGCGGATCTGTTCGCCCTGCTGGTGAGTCCGCTTTGTTCGTTGGCACACACATGAAATCGTTGCCCAGTAACCTGCATACTGTGTTTTGCTGTTTCAGCTTCTGTCCAGATTAGTTTATAAAGACATAAGATCGTACATACAAAGACGAAGAGTTATTCAAATTTAGAATGCGAGGTAAAATCTGCAAATTTCTTGTCGCGCGTATGCGATTTTGACCTGTCTGGGATCTTGTACAGTTTTGCTCGTATCGCCTTAAGCGCGGGTGTTTTCCGAACGATCGATGCGTACGAGAGGTCAGACTTTAATGGAAATAAAATAGCATATTTTGGACAGTATTTTTTTTGGTCGTAACTGCTACGCAACACTATTTCAATGTAGATAATTTTAAACGGAGAAAAGATAGCGCCGCTATTTTAAATAATTTTTGAGATTGATATTTTTCAACTATATACGTATAAAGTGTAAGAAGCTATTTTTTTATTGCGTACGCTAAATGTCAGATGTTACCACACGAACTCACAATTATATTATGACGTAAATATATTACAAAGTTTAATATACATTTGTTCAATGCACACTTCCGTGATAAATTATTCCGTACCAGTCGTCAAGTATTAAGCTCAAGGGATGCCGGTGGGAATTATGTAGCTGATGGCGTCGGCGAAGTCGCCCCACGCGGCTCTCTGGGTTTGGAAGATGATTATCCAAGCCACCAGGATGGCTGCCCAGAGGGTTGCTCCGATGGCGGAGAGGACCACATCTGAAACAAGCGCGCGCATCCGTTAGTGAAAAGAATCGGAAATTTGTAGGAAATGATTGGATCGATACCAACATCTCTTGATCTGCTTCTGCTCCTCGTAAGGCGGTGCTACGAAGGCCTCCTTCGAGAACCAGACCGCGTTCACGGCCCACAGGAACGGCAGTAGCGCGAAACCAACTACGACAAAGAGTTTGAGAAAACATTAGCAGGTTGTTGCAACTTTTGGCCACGCGCTACGCTACTTTCTCTGTACTTGAGGGGTATATTCTGTAAAAACGCTCCGACGTATCTCGATCAGCGTTGTAGAACAAAAGAGAAAGTGCGAAGAGCGAAACAAAAAGAGCCAAAGACAACTTGTGGAGTAGCAATTTCTTACGGAATACAGAACTTAAAGAGATACATGTATGTATATACACATCTGATTTTAGAGGAAAAGGAGGCGAGATATCAAGCCTGATCTACGATGTGCTCTGCGCGTCTATTTTGTAGCCAATAAATGCGCTGAAAGATTCGAAAAAAAGATATCTTTACAATTTTTGCATTAAAAGAATTCGTACAAGTTGATAGATTGTACACTAGGAGTCGCCGATGCCTTCCTTCACGCGTGTACATTTTTCACGTACGTATACGCAAAATGTACAAACGCGTTGCTGTGCGCAAATTCACGTAGGAAGACATCGGCGAGTCCCGGTGTACAATCGACAGATTTTTAAGCGTTTGGATTCGCTCATGTAAAACAAAGCGTTTCTAGACGCGAAGAGCACTAGCGGATCGGGTTTTAATCCCGCGAGGAAACGAAAGCGCAGCCGAGAGGAGGCCAGCGACGGCAGAGACTAGACCCAGGTCTCCCGATCGAACTAAATCGTCGCGGCGTCAACGTACCGCGAAAGTACCACTTGCAGAGGTGCAGCTTCTTCTCGTTCGGCACCTTGGACAGGTCCATCGCGGCGACGACAGCGGACGGCTGTCCTAACCTATCCTCGTCCCTCGGTGTCGCGTCGAGAGCTCGCGACCGTCCCTCCCGATCAAGCGACTCGGACGGCGGTCGGCATCGAGGCGCGCGAAGACGGAGGAGTCGCGTCGAGTCGCGGGATCGGCGAAAAACGCGCCGTGCAAAAATAACAATAGGGGCGGCAAAGCAAGGGGGGAAGAAGGAAAAAAAGGGAGAAGACGCGTCGGTCCCGTCGCGCCCCCAAGATGGCGCTCGCCGCTCCCCCCCCTCGGGCGCGTCACGTGGGCCGCGGGGTCACGTGGGCCACGGGACGCTCCGAGTCCCCGCCGAGGGCCGCGCTCCGTCGCCCAAGCCAGCCATTTTGGTTCGTTAACATGGCGTCGCCGCCGGAGATTAATATGGCGTCCTCGGACATAATAACCGAAGTGGAGATTCAACCGGACATCCAGGAGGTCGAGATAGAGGCGATACCGGTGGAGATACCGTGCGAGACCGTGGAGACGACGATCGAGGGCGAGGACGGGCAGCCGATGATAGCGCTGCAGCCGCTGCCGGAGCCGGGCCGCGAGGAAATCATACTGCAGACGCAGGAGGAGATCGTCGGCGCGGACCCGCTCAGCGTGTACGACCAGATCCCGGTGCCGGACAACGACATTTATGTCGAGTCCAGCCCCGGGCCGTCGCGTAAGGCCGCTAAGAAGGCGCGCAAGAGCGGCGGCGCGCGTTTCCGCGCGTCCGACCACGCGATCTTCGGCGAGATGGCAACCGAGACCAAGACTAGGAAGTGGGAGCAAAAGCAGGTGCAGATCAAGACGCTCGAGGGCGAGTTCTCGGTAACGATGTGGGCGTCCGGCACGGACGACGGTGAGTCGCATTTCGGGATCTTCGGCACTTCTTCTCGCCCCCTCCTCCCCCCCCCACCCACCGTCCTCACTCATCCTCTCTCCCTCTCTTTCTCTCTTTTTGTATCATTCCTGCCGCCTCGCTCCTTTCTCCGTCTCGCTCTCCGTCCCCGCTTCGAGCTCGTAGCTTCTCCCTTCGCCGAGTCTTCTCGTCCAGAGGACGGTTCATTCTTTCTTTCTCTCTTTCTTCCCCGTCCCTGTTTCTCTCTCTTTCTCTCTCTCTCTTTGTCTCTCCCCTCGTTCCTCCTGGCCCGTCGTATCCTCCACGCACACGGGCGGGTACGCACTTCCGGTGCGATACTCAGATCGATACTGCGTCGCTGCCACGGGCGCGCGGTCGCCCCGCCGCAAGATCGGCGACCTGGGGCCGCCGCGTCGGCCGCGCGGCTCCGCCGGCTTGACAGGCCCAGTTGTTTGTTTTGATCGCGCGAACGCCATTGTGCTTGGCCCCACGGGGGCAGCCATATTTTGAAAATGGCCTCTTTTACGCGGCGGATCGCCCGCCCGTCCGCCGCCGAGCAAATGGCGGCGGACGCGCCGAGCGACGTTGCGGAGCGGCGCGGCACTCGACACCACGGCCCGTCGACGCTGACCCGAACGGCGCTCGTTCAAATCTCGCGGCTGTTCGAGGGGGAGAGACAGCTGGGGACGCTAAGGGCGAGCCCGCCGCGTCTCGCGGCGAGGCAGGAAAATGTCATGAATCTCGCGGCCAGTCCGTGGCGCACAAAAGAAGTCCGGGCGACGCGCCGCAGCGGTGCCTCGCGACTTCTGACGTCACGGCGGATCCATGCTGCACTGCGAGCCCACATACCGGGTGGGCTCGGTCGACAACGCGAACGATCGGTAATCCCGTCGATTCACGCCTCTCGTCTGTCGTTTTATTTCTTTTCTTTTTTTTATCTAAAAATGAGTCACGGAGATAAATTGTTATTCTGCAATTTGTTTGTGGAGGACTGGGGGGGGGGGGGCTGTTACTGAGGCCGCGATGCAACGGGTATCTTCGATTCTTTCAACATTTCTTCCCCTGTCATTATCCTACACGGTTCCCGAATAAGGTGGTTTTTTTTAAGTTGCAATGAGAAAAATGTTGAAATGTATTTAAATACATTTTGCGAGTTCAAGTTTGAGAGACTTTTGTTTCCGAGAAAGATCGGAGGGTAACCGAAGCATTGATGAATGTGCGAGATAGTTTTAATTGCATCGTTTTCGGACGATTTTGAAATTTAATTGGCCTTCTAGATCTTATTCTAATGTTACGACAATTTTTATGAAAATTTATGTCTCATTCCAACTTTACTACAATTCTTTTTTCTAAGGTCGGTATTCTTAGTCCGGGGCTCGAGACTTTTACACCAGGGCGAACGCGTGAAAAGTGAGAAAATTTCATTGACGGATTTAATATTTATCAATGAAATTTTTCACTTTCCACGAATTCGCGCTAGAGGGAATGCTGGAGCGATTCTGCACTTTTGGCGCCTTTTTGCTCCTAGAACTGTCAATTCGCGAAAACATTTGTGTAATATATAAATCATGTGGCTTTTGTGTACAGATTGACAGTGTCCCACTATTCAGACTAAGTGAAAGAACAGCATGATATCATTGAAATTAAGTTCAGGAGCTTAACGAGAAGTCTATTTACTTGTAGGTTACCTAACCTATAACTTATTCGAGCGAATAGATTTTTTGTTAGGCTTCTAAACTTAATCTTGGCTTTTGCACGCAAAATAATAATAAAAAGGACAAGTTGCGGACCGCATAGCGGAACATTTTCTTGAGACACTCAGTCCAGAAGTCTAGTAAAAGAGAAATTTGCATTTGAAGTTTTTAATTCTTTAATAAAATTCGTATGGCTCAAATGTGATTAACACAAATTTGAAGCAATATAAAGGACTAAGAGCCGTGACAGGGTGTTAGTGTCTAAATATAAAAATATCATCTCAGCCAGGGTTTGAACCTGGACCTCCCTTTTAATTCTTTATTCGCGAGCAATTTGAAATTGGCTTTATAAAATTGCAAAGTTCCTCCGCCGAAAATTATATTCGAATACGTCGGTAAAAAAATAATAAACTGAATCATCCAGCGATGTACTTGAACTGTTTTTCAGTCAATGCACTGATTGACTTTTAGAGAGTAGGATCCTCTGAAGATCACCTTTAGATACTCCATAGCCAAAGAAATGTTCTATGCAGCAGCTATCAGATAAACTCAAGGCGGTCTTGAGTACAAGACCCGACTGCGAATACCGGCCTAAATGTTTTCTCCCACAATCCTGCCGAGCTCACTCCGTTCTCTCTCCTGCCAGATTTCAGAAATATATATATATACATATGAAGTGCATGTTATGTACAGCTTATACAAAATACATAATGTATCACAAACTGCATGGCGTATCATTGAGTCATACGCCATGCGGTTGGCGAAAGAAACCAAACCAAATCGCAAAAGTAGCTTTTTTTGGGACCGCTCTCCGTTTGTTGCTGTTAAAGGTAACCTCCTATTAGCGCCTGACCTGGATGTGGATGTTCCAGATGAAGGTTCGAATCCAGAACCGGATCCCGACTACACGGAATACATGACGGGCAAGTCCAATGCCAAGTTCAATTCCAACAGCTCGGTGTCGGACGGTATGCCCGGCTTGGATCTTTCGGATCCGAAGCAGCTCGCCGAGTTCGCGCGGCCCGGCCATAAGCTGAAGGTGCGCAAGCCGCCGGTGATGGACGGCGTCGAGCGAACGATCGCGTGCCCGCATAAGGGCTGCACGAAGATGTTCCGCGATAACAGTGCGATGCGCAAACATTTGCACACGCACGGGCCGCGGGTGCACGTGTGCGCGGAGTGCGGCAAAGCCTTCGTCGAGAGCTCCAAGCTCAAGCGGCACCAGTTGGTGCACACGGGCGAGAAGCCGTTTCAATGCACCTTCGAGGGCTGCGGCAAGAGGTTTAGTCTTGATTTCAACCTACGTACTCACGTGAGAATCCACACCGGTGACCGGCCGTACGTCTGTCCGTTCGACGGGTGCAGTAAAAAATTCGCACAATCGACGAACCTCAAGTCGCACATATTGACTCACGCGAAAGCCAAGTAAGTTTCCCCGCTTCTTTACGCCGAGATTTTCGAAGGGAACATTTCAAAACACGAGCGTCGAGAACAGTTCTTTTCGAGGAGCTATTCGCGTCAAAGAGCAATCAAATTCAGATTGTAAATTCTTGTTAGTAATTCAGAAGTGTAGCGCGGCGCAAGTGTACAGTAGAAAAGGAGACAGTCGTCTGATGAAGATCCTCATTTTTTCTGTGATTTCAGATCCCGGAACGCGATTGGGAGACAAGTACAACAAATTCAACTTCAACAGCCTCAATTTGTCCAAGTTGAAGTTGCAGATGTGGACAATCAACAGTTCATTGTCTACGCCGATTAGCCCCCCTAAACGTTGATCTCGTATAAACTCCCGCTGAACACTACTACTGAAGTATCGTAACCATTAATTATTAATCTAAATAATGTACATATTTTTACGGCGCGTACAAGTGATGTCATTGCACATGACACGGGCAGTCAACTAGCTGTCTTAAGAGAATTAATGGAAGAATAATACCTCTGTGCTTAGATACGAATTACTTGAGATAATGTCTGGAGCACTATATTACCGTAACACATGAGAGGGCAAATAAAGTTAAGAGAGATTTCAAAAAAAAATAAAGAAAAGGAAAAAAAAGATAATGTACCTTCTAAGATACCGCAAGCTAGACTGTGTTGCGTACTGCTCAATTTCTTGTTCTATCAAGAGAAATCGAGTGCGCTTGCATAAAACATATATATACATATACACACATACACATACACACGAGACTGTATATATATAAATATATATAAGTACAATTAAAATATTGTATACAGTATATTTTGGAGAAATTCAGATGGGAATAAACCACGAAGATGCATCTTTTTCCGTCGGACTCAATTGTACCATCTTGGTAATATACGACTTTTACACTGTATTAACGCTGAAACTTGTTGATAGTTGACGATGGGGTGAGAGGGAGGAGGAGGTGGAGGTGGAGGAGGAGGAGGTTACGCGTGTGTAACGCATATTACGAGATCCGTGAATGTCACGCAATCTTTATCGTGCCGAGTCGTACGGTACTGTCTTTCGTTTTGTATCGAGGGATGCATAATCGGAGAGATGTCGCGACAAGATGTTTGACGGATACGGAAAAAAAAATAGGAGTAACAGGGATGACGTGTAGCGAAATGATTAACGATAGGGTGTAGTCAAAGTGCTGGAGTAATCGTTGACCGAGTTAAAGCATAAGAATTGGAATGTCTCAAATATTACGTTAATATGACGCAAAATCGGTCGAAAGGTGTTTCCACGGTAACGTAATCGAAACGAGAAAATTGTACAAAAGAATAAGTATATCGAAATGACGTTACTGCATCCCGATGTGATATTTGCGTAAACGTTGCGACGTCGGCACGCGCATCGAACGACTTGGAACGACCTTGGCGATACTTGAAATTTCGAGTAAGAAGCAATACAGCCATGGACATAGATTTAATATCGAATTAGAATAAAATGTTTACTGCGTGCATCTCCCATTACGTCACTGATCATAATTATTCGCATATCATAATTTTATACGCGCGATGTTAACAGGCATACTTACGACATAAGTGTACATGTGCACCAGCCTGCATTAGGCGAACTTCGGACAATTTGTTTAAATCCTGTAAAGTATATATTCTTTCATAAAAAAACAATTTTACTTTGCAGCTGTACATAATTCTTGTAGCTGTACCCACTTGCTGTCGGTAATGCGTTTTCTTGTACAACCCAATATATCTTTTTATAAAAAGAAGTGATAAAAATTGATTTTTTAAAAGTGATTTAGTGCTTAGACAATGGTTCGACCACCATTTTTTTGTCAATAAACTTTCTATTCTTCATGGCAGTTGTTATACTTCATTTAGGGTCGGTTTTTCCAACCTCTTGGTAAACTAACAAACAAATATATGTGTCTATCTTTGGTTAATTAGAAAAAAAACCCAAGACAAAAACATATATGTTTGATTCAACTATTAGTTAACTTACCAGGAGGTTGGAACAACTGGCCCTTAGTAGGTTTCTTATTTGAAAGATAAAAATATGTAATGGTAAAAAGGGTAACTTGAAATTTTTATATTGTACGGTCTAAGTTTTATTAATTCAACATTTGCGAGAAAGCGAAAATATAACTGCTTCAAAACATGATTTTTAAGTTTGGATATTAAGTGCAGATAACTATCCAACAAGAAAAAGCATCATGCTATTTGCTTTTCGAAAGTAATTAAGTAAATATGTGTGTGTATTATATCAATTCTACTCGCAGAAGCTAGGGATAAATTTCTATTCTTTAGAAAAGAATGAATAGAATTTGGTTTATAATCGTAAACCTTTGCACTAGCCCGTGCGCATCGTTTTTCACGGTATACGTTAAGTTCGATAATTTATATAAAAATACAATGCAAAATAAAAAAAATATATATTTCTATGCTTATATTTTATTTGTGTCTGTCATTTTTTTCACTGCACGAAAACTGCATGTCCTTCGATTACCTCGGGGTCGCTAAATTATTAACAAAACTCGTGACATAGCATTGACGAATTCTAATTCTATTGATTATACGTATAAATATATATAAGACATGTGTATATATAATTTTTCTTGTCAGGAGAGCAGCATCGTACGTGTCTCGGCCGTTCAATTATGTCAGAGATTGATTGGAATGAATATATCCGTACAAACAGAATTTTCTACAATTAGTATCTTCCCGATCGACCGTCCCTGCCCTTGTCGTCCCTTTTCCGGCGGTCTTTCGATCTCGATCGTCTGTCGCGCGATCGCGATCGGCGCTTGCGATCGCGGCCGCGCGAGCGCGAGCGCGACCTGGATCGTCCCCTACCGCTCTTCTTGCGACTGTACAAGTAGCGGCGTAGCTCGCGCGAGATGGGCTTCAGGTGCATAAAGTTGCAGAATCCAGAACGCGTGCATTCCCTGAAACGCGAAGGCACGTGAGATATCATTACCGATCGTACTCGTCATCACGCACGCTCGCACGACCGAGTAGTTTCTATGCCAGGCTCACCCCATTTCGTATTGACGGCAACAGGCCTCTCTGAAATCCGTCACTGGCGAGAGTTCGGCATATACAGGTCTGCCGCCGAACCAACGGTTGTTCAGATCGTTCACCGCTCTCTCCGCGTCCTCCTCTCTGCGGAACTTGATATAAACATTGCCCACCAGGTGATCACCGAGATTGTCGCACACGTTCATCTCCTCGATCTCGCCGTACTTGTCCTCGCACTCGACAAAGACGTCCTCGAAGAAGTTGTCGTAATGTTCTTGCATCTCTTCGTCCGACACGTTTGCAACAACTGAAACAAAAGTAGTTTTTCTTTTAATTCAGCTGGGAAAAGAATTGAACAAGGTATTTAGCGTGCAAATTGCCAGACCAATAATCGTAGAAGTGTAATGTTACTTACGATGGGAACCGTCCGCACTTTTCGCAGAATTCTGGGGATTTACATACAGATTTTGAAGCAGACATGTCTGGAAAAGAATGTACGCAGTGCATTGTATTAAAATGTGTATTAAAAGGTGCCGCGTGGGGTGCTGCACAAGTGCAACTGCCTCGACGAGTTCTCGATTTGCTCCAAAATCTCATCTCACGATTTCTAAGTTTGCGCACCTTGGTTTTACATAAAATTCATTGGACGATTGGAAATTACGACTAATGGGGCACGAAATGAGTGATAATCTATTTTGAGAATACACGCATCAACTATTTATATAAAATATTTGAAAGATTGGAGATTATAACAAGTGGGGCTTGAAATAAATGATAATCTATTTTGAGAACACAACTATTTAAATAAAATATTTGAAAGATATCCCTGATAACAGTTACGGTTGAATGAACGTGAATTATTTCTCCGTTGCGCGAACGTTAGACGGAAAGTGGAGAATCAGAATCACGGGCCGAATTATTTAATACACACCTGACTAAACGTAGGTTTGTTGTGAATACGTGAGCACCGATCGCCGTGCCGACAGGCTCCTATTTTGAAGTAGAAGGAACAATTTACTCTGAAAAGGGAAAGAAAAGAGAGGTTAGGTTAGGGCAAGAATGTCGCCGTTGCCTTCTCGTTTATAACTCAGCGAGCTCCCGCTTACTTGTCCTTCTCGGTACCGAAGATAGATGCCAAATACTCCGCCATGGCTCACGTTTCCTCGAGCACGGGATTATTCCGACGATTGTTGTTGACTCGCTCGGAATCATCAACACTTTCCGAGCATCACGCGCGGAGTAACATTAAAATGGCGGCCATGTTGATCGCCATTGTTTGCGTGTTACGGACGGTATTCATGATGGCGAAAGGACATGGATGCATCTTCATGAAACAGAAACGACCAATAGAAATGTCACTCGGTTGCAAAAACTGACATGGCTACTAAGGGTCTCGATTTTCGCGTTTTAAAGTCTGAAATTCACGGAATTCCAATTCTTGGAAATTTAGATAGTGCCACCTCTTTGCTGGTCATGTTCTCCTGATACTTTGCCATTTTCTCGATTCTCGATTTGAATTTGGAAATTCTCGAAAATCCAATTCTTGGAATTTTTGATAGTGCCACCTCTTTGCTCATCATGTAGGTACTCCTGATACTTGGTTAATTTTCCAGAATCTCGATTTTCGCGATTTGAAGTTGAAAATTCTCGGATTTCCAATTCTTGGAAATTTAGATAGTGCCACCTCTTTGCTGGTCATGTTCTCCTGATACTTTGCCAGTTTTTGAGATTCTTGATTTTCGCGATTTGAAGTTTGAAATTCTCAGAGTCCCAATTTTTGGATATTTTGAAATATTCCGTGAGCACATATTGCATTTCGTATGCATGTGATCTCTGAATAGCCATTAATGAATAGCGTTTAATAACAGCTCCCCGGGATATTTCTCAGTGACAAACAGCGATAAGGATATCTCGGCTGCGATCTCGATGGAAACTACGAATGGAATTTGATTGCACATCTGCATGAGACGGGATTGCTGACAAATACATAATTCCTTTTACCGCGTTAGATCTAAGCCGTATACTTTCACCTTCATTAAGCAGCATTCATTAAAGCCATGTCGGATGATCCATCATTCGCGTCAGAATTTAGGATTCTATTTATAATTCGACATGTATGTCGGGCAAAACTTTTGATCAAGATCTACATGTATAATAAAATGTAACAAGTACGAACGTACATAAAGTCAGATGAAATATTAAATTACAATGATACAATAATATATATATGAAAATTAATTTGTGTTACAAATATGTATCTGTTAAAATAATATACAATTATATTTTATTTCTCACATGTATTTCCTCATTCTGCTTTTGTGCTTCATTGACGAGACCGAGCTTGTCCTAGTCATCAAGTTCTCGTGTTGCGCAGAGTCCCAGCCACCTGTCTAATAATGCGCCTCCCGTATCCGGTGCCGCCTAACCGTTTCCGGTCTATCCGGGGCTGGATGTTACCCCCTGCGGTGTCCTCACACGCGACCCCCGCGCAAAGGGGGGCACGCACGGGCACCCCGAAAATACTCCACGCTCCAATGCACCGCCTTCCCTAGTTTTCCTGGGGAACGACCCTCACGCGCGGCGGGTGCGTGTCTTCGGCATCCGTACGATCGATTTGTTATTACGGCTCGTCATTGTGTCAGCGTGAGGGAACAGTGAGAACTCCAGCACTCGCGATCGTCGCTATTTTCCACGAAGCACATTCTAGGAGATCGTTCCAGAAGCGTATGTGCTCAGAACACGATAATGCTGGTAGTGTAATAACGATGAGGCACAGTGAAAATCCACTTCGGTCTCTTTATTTATTTTATTATTTATATAACCACTTCGCCTCGCTTATCGTGAGATTCCGAGAGCCCGAGATCCAGAGGAAATTTCGTTAGTTTCACGAATTTTTACATTATCTTTAAACAAATACGGCTCGAAACATGTAATATTCTCTTGTCCGAGAATAAGAATGTGTAAATATCATTATCCATAAGCTTTGTGTATATAATGTATCTTAATCGTTTATTTGTAAAATTAATATACGTGCAGGCGAAATATAATTTTTCTGGTCGGTGAGATTAATGATCGGGCGGAAAGATATTGTTTGAAATGCACGTCTCGCCGTGGATCCCGATGTAATTCATGAGCACAAATCGATTTCACACTCCCGCTGGGTATAAATTAATAGACACTTACGGGTGCGTTTCGATGGGTTGTTCCGTGTACCAGGTGTTAGCCGTGGCCTCCTCCTGTTAGGATGCACCGTGAAAAATCGCTTTATCCGAGGAGCGGTTAATCCGGGGCCTCTTACGATTGCTTTGAGAATCTGTGTCTCGCAGAGCAACTGAAAATATCGTCGCTAGAACCGCGGATATAATAGTGCATTATAAATTGTAATACATTAACTTTAAATATCAGAATACAAATTTTGTAGAAAAAATTCCTCGTTCTTTCGGTAACTTCGCTTTTAATCGCTTAAACAGGTTTTAACGAAGTTCTTGCTTCCACACGGAAAGAAAAGTGTAGCTACCGTTTGCCGGGCTTTAGAAATTTATAGTTACGGCAGCAAAGTATTTTTAGCAAACCGTGATTAGCTACGGTAGCAAAATTTTCTTTTCGTTTATAATTCGATTTACAAAGGTCGAAATAAAAAGGGATGCTTTACGGTCCAGTGCATTTTATCGCGTTGTACGCTTCTTATTATGCAACTGACGACGGTGAATCTTTTTGGCGACGTAGGAATAATATTTATTCGATGGCCGATGCGAAGCGAGATTGCGCGAATCGTCTCGTCAACGCCGGAATCGCATTTAAGCGCGTACACGTGGCCACGTGGGCTTTGCCATTTAAATCCGATCCCCTTTAGTTATCTCTCGATCTCGAGGATAAAAATTTCTGCCGGACAATGGACCCGTCCCGACGCAGTATTTTCATTTCGGATTATACCGGAACAAGCTGCGGCCGCTACGTTCGATCGAAATATACGCGCTTATTGTTAGTAAAAGAGAAAGAGAGACGCGATATTTGGTTTTTCTTTCCATGTAATTATAATTTTACGTGCCGTGTATATGAAAAACATTTATGGACACAAGTCAAAATATACAATATGAAAAATTGTATAGGGTTTTATTCTAAAATCTGACGTGAATTATAGATGAAGTTAGTTTTAAAGCAACACAAATACGATATAATGATGATACGTTAGTAAACTTTTCTCTGGTAATTGCATTAATGCCTGTAAATGTGAATGCCGAAATTTCTCTAGGTAGATAAGTTCGCTTGTGCGCTTACGTTTTCAATTGATTATTTTTTAAATATAATTTTAAACAGTTCGATTGAAACTCTCTTCAAAAAAGTTGCTTATATATTTTACATATGCATTCCGATTATTTCAATTACTTCAACACGTGTGATATTACACGCGAGAAATGTTACAAGACGCAATTATTAACGAATGGGGGTATTAATTACAATCGTGGGAACTGGAAACGCCGCTTTCCCGATTCTTTTCGGAGAAGCATCACAGATGGAACTATAACTCATTTGGGTTAGACGTACCCTCACCTCGTAATTACAGGGCTGCTAATTATCGATGTGTAATAGATGAGGCACGAAATCATCCGGAAATGTTAGGATATTTGTAACAGGGCTTAGTTTATTAGCCGTCGGCGTCGTCAAAAGGAGAGTGTTTCCTGTGAATTTATCTATTACTAAATTTTAAAATACTATTATAAATACTAAATGTATAAAACAAAAAATTTTTATGTTACAAAAAATATAAAAAGTAAATATTATAATAAATAATTCCAATAATAATATAAATGAATTATTATTGTTGCGGGCTAAGAAAGTAATTTAGAAACTAAATTACAATTACCACAGGACAAAAAACACAAATCTAACATTTTTGCCGTGTCAAGAGAATTAAACATTTTCTGCAAAATACTGTATAGTAATTCTAAGACATCTGGTTGCGCTGTAATATGAGGAATATATTTTATTCATAATAATGTTTGCAAGATCTTGTGATAAACAACTGGATCTTTATATATATTCGTGAAATACTCTTTCCCTTCGGCAGATCTTCTGCTGCAATCAATATGAATTCTACACGATCCCCGAAACGATTGTTACGTCGCGACGAGAATGCACTCGGCTCAAAACAGGTGACACTCTCTTTCGCGACACCTTTCATACAAATTGCAGTAAATATTGTCTGGTTAGAGAACGACGCGTGCATCCGGCAAGCATATTGCTAGCGTAACCGCAGTGCGTTATTAAACGTTATTATCTGGCGCTTAATAACGCGTTGGTGAAATCAGATTGTACCTGTTACGGTACACGCGTAATTACAGGTTCGCTCGGCGGGGCCAAATGTCGCCGAAGTGGTTAACCCGGGACGCAACCCTTCGCGGCGACGTTGCGGCCGCACGTGGCGAGCCACGTGCGACCAATTTCTTTTCTATTACGACGAGCTTATCTGTGATTCGACGATGTGCTTTTTGCCGTTTGCAATAGCCTCTCGAGAGAGATACAGCGACTCGAGCGCAAAAGCGAATTAACAATTAATAAGAGGGAAGGAGAAGACCGTCAAGAACCGTGTGAAAAATTTGTACCGCTGTTATCTCACGTGCAATTATATGTAATACATTATATTTTCTAGTAGCACAGTGCATTGACCAAACATTGGTTAAACATTGGCCCAATATTTGGTTGTATCGAACCAATGTTTGAGCATTGAGCCAATGCACTGTGCTACCACAGTTGTATCCCAATGAGAAACGATTCGTCGATTCGATATCGTTTCGACATCGATTGACGAGTCATTTCTCGCTGGGACATGTATTATAATTACATATTATAAATATTAGATTTTGTATTGTACAGCTCACTTTAGACTATTTACAAGTTGCGTCACGTATCAAAATTCTATTTGTATGGTTTTACATGCCATGTACTCTCCAAAAATCAATCAGTGGATTATCACTGATTATATAGTCACTGATTTGCAGTTATAAGTACACCACTGAAAATCGCAGTGGCACGCTCATAACTGTAGAGAGTATCTTAATATATATCTTACGTACATATGCAGTTTTTATTCTTGCAACGTATTTTACATTATGCAATTTATAAAGCTGTAAATATCCGTTTAAATATTCCACTCAAGCGCATTAAAAACGATCGTCATTAAAATGATCACGTTTCATTCCGCAGCCGTCAACTGTCTGCTGAAACCGCCGAGTAAGAAGTTGCTGTCTCTTACTTGGTATTTTTCGCGAGAGAAGTTTTCATCGCCGTTGAATGTTGTTCGTTATTTGCGAACTTGCCTAACTATAGGTTTTGTCCATATCGAACTTATAGAATTTTCAAGTACAGTCTATGGCGGCTTCATGAATACGTAATTGTCCGTCGGACGCGAATGAAAGTCCATCGCAGTGAAGAAAGCCGGTTGTAAACAGTCGAAGCGGGAGAGAATTTGCGACGTCGAGTGTTAAAGTGAAGCATTAATGCTGCTCTTACACTTGTACGTATCCTTGTGTCTAATGTATCAATATTTCTATAAATGCACAGCATATTATATTAGATAGAGATATGTGTGAATACAAAAAAGAATATGTCTAAAATAAATGATGTGCAGAAATATATGTATATAAGTACAGCACAATATAAAGCTTTAGACATTTTAATGACTATCGTTTTTAATGAGCTTGAATATAGAATATTTAAAAGGATATTCAAATATTTGAGAAGAGAGAAAATTTATCTATAAAATATTTATATTCCGCTAATTCGTACATATCCCAGTGAAAAATGATCTAGATTTCACATGTCTCGCTGCACGTGTATTCAAAGAATTGAATGTGTATTCCAAATTATTTTAATAACGCGATCTTGATTACATTTCATCTACTTACAATTAGTGACGTGCTTAATTTCGATTTTATATACCCTTAAGCATTCGTACGGTAAATAAACTACAATTTTTCTGCTTCGAATCCGATGGCAAACTTTTTCGATAATTTCTAGACGTGAATCACGCGGATTTCTTTATGTAAGCGTTATCTCGTCGTTTTCGAGAAAGTGTACGTTCCGATAGGCCGCGAGTTCTCCTGACGGCGTGCCGGGACGCTGTTCCTATGAACGGGAACGACGGCGGTTCCTTATCAGATCGATGAAGAGGCGGCACCGCTACCCCAGCAACCAAGGGGTAGGCAGGCTCTGCTGGTCGCGCGCTCGACGAATGGGGTCGTAGCTGGGCTTTCAACCCCGGCATGGCTTCCGCCTTGCTGCTCGCCGCTTTTCGATTTTAGTCCAGCGAGAGACCACCTGAGCGATCGTAGCACGGTAGGTGGTCTGCAGGTCGGCAGGAAGCTGCGGAAGGTCCCCGACTTGCGGGCGCGAAATCGGCAAACGACCAGGACGAACATTCAAGGACATTCCCGAAGTCCGCGCGGTGATGTTCTCCGCGAGGAATCGTACGTGCGACGTGTTCTCTTGTGGCGAGCAAATCTGCGGGGAATGTCTAAGTTGTCAGTGCGAGTGTGAGGGAAATTAAAGAATAATAAAAAAAAAACTTGGAGAGACCCGGGAGGGACTTTAAATTAGCACAGCGCCGTGTTGTTTTACAGACGCGATAGTCGTGACAGCTTGGACAATTGTAAATCCGCGAATATTTCGGATGTAATCGCAAAGTACAATTAGGGAACTTCCTCTAGGGATAGGAAGGATATTTAAGACTTACTCGAATGTTCTTAGTAATCGCTATAAAAATTGCATGGTGGCAACGTAACGTCCATTGTAATGAACAAGTCTGAGGGAGGACGATCGACGTGTCAGTTGCAAAGTGTAATCTGGAAACTGAAAGACGGCATTCGGAAGATGTTACGGGAATAAGTGAAATCCGTACGGACGTGATAAGAAATGGCCAAATGCAACCGTGATACTTAAAATCCGATGTCTTCATTGAAAAAACTGTTCGTGCTCGTGAAAATAGATTATAATAATCAGAGTGCCATTACTTTTGCCTAATAAACCAAGAGGCATATATAATTATAACGAAAGATTCCACGTAATTACAGTATTTCCCGATAAAAAGACTCGAAAGTCTTGAACAGTTTCTTGCAACGGAAAAGTAAACGCGAAGCCACGCGTTAATTAACAATGGGATAATAACGGAGAAGATTTTAAGTCAATGCAGCTAATTAATTCCCAATATGACTGTAATATAATGCGTTGTATTTCTCTCATTCTCAATTTCTATCCTCTGGAACTGCAAGAAGGTGAATTGAAGGCTTGTGAAATATAAAAGAACTCGTAATCAAGAAGGGATAAAAATATAAGAGAAATACAATAAGAAGATAACTTTCTTACGTCGCGGATATAAGAGACCGGGGTGACACCCGAATCTCTTTATCGCCAGGTCGTAAGTGGCATGGTTGGACGCGAATCGAAGCATCCCGACGCGTGAGCACCGAGTGGTTAACAAGTGTTTGGACAAATCTCGACACGTGCCCCGTCAAGACACGTGCCACTGTTTAGAAATATTATCCTGCACGCGCGCCTAGCTGGCACGTGTCGATCGTATCTCCCGATCCTCGAGGCGTGTTCGAGAGCGCGTAGGCGCGATCGAAAATTCCGGCGTATCCGCGAGGATTTGGAATTCAATTGCCTAGTCTCGTGCGATAATAAAATAATTATCGCTCGAAGGGTCTGAAGCGAACAACTAAATGGCGTGAGGTACACGACAGTCTCGTCGCTCCACGTCTAGTCACGTAATCTAGTCATACTTTACGTTAATTAGCGATCGATCCTCTCGGATCCGATAAGCGACGCTAGATTAAGGAAAGTACATTAACGCTGGTGAAAGCCTAAATCGTCAAGTCTGAGTGATTATTGGCGAACCGGACATCGCACACCATCATGTATTCGATGGACAATCTCGAGCGGGATATGATGAATCGGCACTACATGTACGAGGCCCACAGCTTCCTGGGCAACCCGGCGATCCCGGGTTTGCCGCCGCACTGCGGGGTACCGACCACGACGACGCTTCCGGCGGTGATCCCGTCGCAGCTCCCGTCGTCCCATCATCCGTCCGGTAGCACCGGTAGCACGAGCGGCAGCGAGCACTATCTCTACGACGAGAACAGCAGTGACAACGAGAGCGTCTACAGCAGCGACCAGGAGAATCACGCGAGAGAGTGAGTGCAAACCCCCTGGCAGTGTGTTCCATCACTCTGGACTTTCCTCTGTTTCTCTTTCCTTTCTTGTCTCGGCCTAGAGAACCTAATGAATCGAATATTATTTCTTGCCGCGCTCTGGAAATTCGTATAGCGTTCGCCATTTTTTGTGCGCAGACGGAGTCGGAGTAACCGGCGTGGCGGGACATCGGGAAAATGCCCGAGACAAGTGCAGGTACAGCAACGGCAGGCGGCGAACATGAGGGAGCGAAGGCGTATGCAGAATATAAACGACGCCTTCGAGGGCTTGAGGGCCCATATACCGACCCTGCCGTACGAGAAGAGGCTGTCGAAGGTCGACACGCTGAAGCTGGCGATCGGTTACATAAACTTCCTCAACGAGCTCGTCAGGGCGGACAAGGGTAACGACCCTTTGACGGGCAACAGCGGTCTCTCGAGGTGTTCCAGCCGGGACGAATGCAAGAAGGTCATAGTCCGTGGTGAGGCCAATTTTAATTACATCCCTTGTCCCCGTTTCTACCAACGCGGTTTAACTTACTTTATGTCCTTTTCTAGTTTTACGCGATTAAGCCCGGTTTCACCAAACGTCGCTTAACTTTAATCTTAACTGTGTCCACGATGCCAAAACTTGGCCCAAGTTCTAGTTCCGAGAAATTCGTAGCCAATCAGCTTGCAGCTATTCCATAAAATATCGTTAAACGGGAATTAAAAGGTGTTCCGAATTAAAGCGTGCTCGAAGTTGAGAATAGAATTTTACGTTTGTTAGCTTTTTCCCGAATCGTCGTGTTTTCGACGAGATGACGAGAGGAAAATTGAGTCGTAGCTAATTGAGGCGTGTTAACGTCGAGAACTGCCCGGGATTTTGCGCGATGTAGTCGCGCGTGTTTAAAGTTTACAATGTAGTTCACACGCGCGGCTTAAATCTTACAGTGTGACGTGCGACACGTGTACAAAATTGGAAACTCGCTGAAATTTCGTCCGTGATTCGATTTCCATCGCGCGGCCGCGAGATTCGGCTTGATAATGGAGAACAGTACTGCCGCACTCCACGCTATTTCGATATTATGTGCACAACGAGTTAGCGTCGGGCCGAGCCGCTTCCGCCCCGCGCGGTATCATAGGTCGATTTATCATAATTGCCCATCTACCCTTTATTCCAGGACAGGTGTCCCGGTTAGATACGGGGTGCTTCGAGGTAAATTTGCCGCCCGGGGATAATTGAGAGATTATCTCAAGTTTCGGAAATCGCGCGTAACCCGTTATTCATACGCTCCGCTCTCGCGCGAGTCGTAATGTTCGATATTTTTTAAAGGGTCATTCCACTTTAACGGCCCAAAAACTATGCCTATCTTTAACAATTTTTTTCACGGTCTTGTTGAAGATATATTGACAGCTTCAAATCGACCATTTCGCACATTTTTCACGGATTAAGATAAATCCCCGCGCCGGTTTTAGTCCATTTTCCGCGACCTCGCGTTCTCCAAGTTTTGGCTAATCTTCAACGAATTGCGACTTTCAGGCAGCGGTGGGAATCCGTTCATCTCGCATTCGCTCTCGTGGTCGAGAAAGTCGGATATCTCGCCGAACGGCACGATGTACGCGAAGGTCTGGACGCCGGAAGATCCGCGAACGTCGAAAAACGGGACGACGTTCGAGTAGACGAATTTGACTTCGTCTCACAAGGAAGGGGAGGGACCGAGACGCGCGTCGCGCGATCGCGAGGACATTTCTCAATCTTAGGATGTTATTTAGTGTCTAAGGAAGAGCGTTTCTAGTCACCGGTAATGCAACTTGTACCTTACTGTCATCGAAGAGTCGCCGACGAGGGGTAAACCGCCGACCAAAATCATGTACGCCAGTGCCCACTAATGCCCAGTTGGCTTTATCTCATTATCTTATTTATCTTGCCTTGTCTTTATAATGCCCGAGCAAGGCATAATGCCCAAAGTAATGCCCAAAAACTGCCTAGTAATGTCCAGTAATACCGCAAATCCGTACAATGCCCTCAGCGGTTTACCCCTTGGTCTCCGAGTTTTCGAGCGACGGGGGTGGTCACCGATGTGTGCAGAGGAAAATCTTCCATCGTGAGATAAGCTGCTAATATTAGATAACGGGGCTTCTGCAAAATTAACAGGCATCGTCTATTGCCTCTGTAGTGAAATCTGTTTAGTGCAAAATTCATTGTTAGATGGTGTAATCGTTGCGAAAAGATTTGCGATTGTATTTGGGATGTCGAAAACCTGCTCTCATATTACAGAAGTCTATCTCATAATAGGGGACTTTTCTCTGTGCATCTCTTGCGACTCTGCCGGGAAGGCGTTAGCAGCAAACTGAATCAGCCACTGTAAAATATATGAACATTTGAGTTGCGGGAACTTTTTAAAAGCGGAAGCGTAAGTCTCGGTTATGGCTTCATTTCTTTAAATATTATTGCAAGTACAGTCGGAGTAGCTCATTAACAGAATCTTCAGAGACTCTTTTTCTGAAAGAGAACAATTTTTCTCGACTCGTGTCTGGGGGTGGTCGATCGCGTTTATTTTACAATGGCCGATTCAGCTCTCGCCGTTTTGCATAATGCAAACCTATGCGTCTGCATCCACGAGACGTTTTTACGAACGGTCCGCGGGGATGTGCTTTGTAAATAGGAATGATCGAAAAATAGGCGAATTATAATGAGATAAGCACCGTTTATACATAATTAACGCGACGTAAGAGAGATGATGCGTAGCGAGCATCATTATTGCCACTGTGAATAACAAAGCCAAATAAATGTAGTTCCGAGTACCTCGTTGCTTTTATCATTCACCTTGCAGGCCTTTAGTAAAAGGTACGAAAGACGGACAAAACTTAGTTCCCTGTTTCCAAAAGGAAATCGATAGATACAGATAAGTGAAATTTCAGACGATAAACACCGCAAAGTAAATTCCGTAAACATGTCCATCAGTTAAACAACATAATTCAATCGCATCGAGATCAAGACAAATGTAATTATTAAGAAAGCCCTCGCTCTTTAAACCGAGACAAAAGGTAAGGTGTTATTGTCAATCTTCGCGGTATTAAGGGAACTTATGAAAGCTACGCTTTGCACGATAGAGTTATCACCGCGGAGCTTTTAAGTCGTCAAATCTCGCTCGCGATTCCGCGATTTGAAGATACTTTTCGCAGCATTATGCCGAAATAGCGCGGCGACAAGATGGCCGAAACTGCCGAAGGGTTGATAGCGCCCTAAAAGGTGCTCCTTGTGTTCCAGCAGGGGTGGATTTGGGCGAGAGGGAGAAAGAGAGAGAGAGAGAGAGAACGAGAGACGGCAAGGAGAGGAAGAGAGCAGGAAACGCGGGGAGACGCGGTGGGCGGTACGTCGATATTGCGGCGTCGCGGCGCCCAGCGACTCAGCGGGGATAATGGCGTCGACGGCTGCGAGTCTTCTCACGATCCTCCGGTTCTTCCTCCTCGTCGCTCGCGACGCCGGGGCGAGTTCCCGTTTCCCGCTCTCTTTCTCCTCAGCCGCGAGGGTTTATTATCGCACATCATTATCGTCATTAGCAACTTCGCGAGGCCGCGAGCAACGCGGAAGATAAGAAACTTCAATCCCGCGTTGCGGTATTACGCATTCGTGTATGGGGCGAAACGCCGTCCAGTCTGCCTCGGTCGGCTGCGCGGTGGATTTTATTATCGTCTGAATTTCATTACGCGCGATTCCGTCGATGGAAAACCGACGATGATCCTGAGAAATCTCAGCCACTTCCGTCTGGCGAGTCTATTTTACGCGTTGTTCCCAATATTCCTCCCAAAGTCTTCGTTCCACTCGTTTTTTAATTCGTCAGACTATAATTGATTGGAAAATGAGTCTCGCGCGTATTTAAATATCGGCGGTATGTCTATAAATATGACATATATATGTTAAACGGTTGCGTATACATCGTCTTCTTGTAATTTCTTGCATTTTTTTAACGAGGAGACTAAATGCAAGATCTTCGCGGTAAAAGAATGCAGCTGCCGTAGCTAAAAACTGCACGTGGTAACTAAATTTCAGTTGTGAATGGACAGCTAATATTTTGCTACCGTCCCTATTGTATTAGGCGCGACAGCAAACCGTTTGCCGTGGTTTAGAAATTTACAGCTACGGCAGCAAAATATTTTTAGCAAATCATGATTAGCTGTGGTAGCGAAATTTTCTTTCAGCGTTCCTAGCGTTTCTTTCGCAATCGCGCGGATTTTCTCTCAAGTGAAATCAAGAAAATAAAATGGGAGCCGAGGCCTCGAGACAAAACCTCCTCCGAAACTCGGAGGTGGCCACCCAGACAGATCTGGATAAAAATACAGTGCGCGAGCTGCACTCGTCTCGGAGCGCAGAGACCCGCAGAGCGCGGTGGGCCACTATCAGCTGTGAAAACAGCGTTGTTTATAGACACCGCGGCACAATGAGGTGTAATTGAATCCATATTCTACCGGGGGGGGCGTGTGCCCGCTGAACCCGAACCCTCTCGACGTCGAGGGGGGGCCAGCGGAACGGCGACCCCCTCGCCCTCGGGTACTGGCCTTCGGGGTGGTTGTACTTAACGGTTCGGGAAATCGAGGGTGGCCGTCGATTTGTGGACAATTAGGGACGATTTCGTGGCCTCCACCGGGAGGAGGGGAGGCAGCGAGTCGCGTACAACTCCGATCGATTCCAAACTTTCGTCATCTGATAAGACGCCACTCGATAAACGTGTCCGGCCGTTTGACGGTGCGATTTTCGACTCTATCGTCGTATTCGAAGATTTCGCGAGAAATGACATTTTGCACGAAACTACTGCGTGAAAAGTCTAGAAAATCTCCTCCTTTCACCTTCACAACTTTCGTTATGTACATAATTTTAATACGTCAGTACGTTCTCAACTTTATCCGAACAGAATTCAATGTAAATTCTTATTTAAAAAATATAATAAAAGACAGATACTTGAAATGCAAATAATAAATTCTTTCAAAGAGCGAGCCGATACGAGATTTGTCGTTGATAGAATTTGCTCGAGTCTCCGAAAACACTCCCAGTGATTATGGGACTCTCTGTTTACAGGAAGTTAGTTTAAAGATAACGTTCATAAATGGCGATAAGAAATAACGTTAATATTGAAGAGGGACTGGCGATCAAAGCGTCTTATCAAATACATGCCCTCGACAAAGGATATGAATCGGTTTATGCAGAGTTCTAGCGAACCGCTTATCTAGGTTGACGCAGGTGTAGCGATGCACCTGCTCTTATCGCTCGCACGCTCGATCGGGGTAAACAATTTTTTTAATCGTTCGATTTTTAACCCCGATCTAATATATGCGAGCCAAGTACTGATCGAATAATAAAAAAAAAAGCATGTAGGCATTAAACATTAATCTAGACGACACAAGTTGCAATTGCTCTTTAAATCGTGTACATAAAGAAGATAAATAAAATTTTAAACTTCATATCGTAAATCAGTAATATTGTACGAGACCTACACGGAGAAAATTGTCTTTTAAAATCCTGAAAATTATGTAATCGTGGGACAACACTAGCAGCATTTCGAAAAATTTTATGAGAGTTTTTTTAAATGCCACGCTGTCCTACGATCATATAATATTTAGGATAAATTTTAAAAGAAAATTCTCACTGTGTAGTATTCGCAATCTTTCTATCGTCTTCTAACAATCGTTATTCGTTAAAACGTAAGGAAGTTTGTAAAGTAAAAAGGTTAATTAGGCTCCAAGATTATAAAAATTAGAGACAAGGGACTTTTTTTAATTCTTCCATTTAAAAGAAATTAGTTTTTACCATAAAAGCCGGTAACAGGCTCCCACTGCCTTTATTCTTTTCCCTTGTCTCTAAGTTTGTCAAGAGTTACGATGAACTGGCAATTTATTCGCGGCAGCCGAAATATCGGTCACAACCGTCCGGAAAGAAGCGGTCATTGAGAGGCGCGAAAGTTCAATGTTCCGCATTGAGCCTAATCTGCTCTAACGTCACGGTACGGTGATGCCGTGAAAATTAGCAAACCATAGAATCCGGGACCCCTCCCGCCCTTCAGCGGAGACGCGCATTAAGGGTACCCCTCTTGTCGCGAGGGGCGCACTTGTGTTGATCCTCGCAGCTGGAGTGACACACAAATACAGTATTAATTCACGATTCTCGTGTCACAATAATGGTACCCGACGTCCGCGCGTTACAACGTAACGTGGAGATGTAATAGCGCCCGAATGGAGATATAACACTTGGCCCCCCCCCCTTTGTCTGTCATGCACGTATCTTTTACAAAAAAGTTTGTACAGATCATACAGTTGAAATCACTCCGCTTATATATCTATATATCAATTTAGAAAAATTAATTTATATATTACGCGCTAAAACGTGACTTTGTATGCAGCTTTAAATATTTTTTTCACGACAAATACATTGCTAAAAGTATTAATCGTGATACATTCTTTTTTCCATTCTATATGATAATCATAACGAGGACAGACCACAATCGAAAAACATGCTTATGTAATAAATGATAGAAAAACTATTTACTTATTGCAATAAATACAAATAACCTTAGTAGCACAGTGCATTGGCTAAACATTGCCTAAATATTGGTTCAATGTTGGATCTATTAGAAATGTATTGGCCGATATTGTCCAACGTAAAGCCAATATCGGCCATGAAATAAATGTAAATGTTGCACAATAATAAACATATAATATTAGATTTATATTGGAAGTGCATTGGCCAATATTTAATAATGTAATAACAATATTGGTCTAACATTGATGCAATATTAGACCTATATTGCTGAATAGACATATCAGGGTGTCCAGCAAACTCAATTTCCTGACTTTTCCCTGACATTTCCAGATTTTTAAAATTCCCTGACAATTCCCGGTTTTCCAGACTTCCCTGACCACTGGACACCCTGCATATTGGCTAAATAAGAAAAGGCGTCCAACTTACAATGTTGGACCAATATTGGGAATACTAGATTTACATTATTTCCCAATATTGCGGCAATATATTGTGCTACTAGGGAATAATCTGGTATTGAATCATTATAAAATAAATTATTATAACTAAAAGCATAATGTGCTATATACAAGATATGATAAGAAAATTCAGAATGCCACAGGAGAACATGATCCTCCACAGAGTCAACGAAGCATTGAACAATTTAAATATTAAACGCAAATTCGGTAAAAACCTAATATGCATTACTCGCGAATTCATGCGTCCTGTCGCATTTACGTTTGAAATCTGTACAATGTACAGGACTTACGCACACGTACGTACAGTTAAACGCACCCTTTCTTCTGTACACGCCGGGACAGACTCAAGTGATGCGGAGTTGAATCAAAGAGAGCATCCATCCACCCTGCGGCTCGCCTCGCTGTCTCGGGGGATGAAACTGGAACGCAAATACCTAGGCAGCTGCACCCTCCGAGTGGCCACCCCCCGAAGTCTCGTGGCACTACTTTCGGGCCCGTCCTCCTCTGCGAGCTTTATTATATTCCAATTATCTCTCTCCGGAGATTTAAGCCCGATCATAAATATAATCCCCGTGCGGTGCCACGATCGTGACGAGTGACACGATTTCGAGGGGGAAGAAGCGGCGAGACAGCGATATAAAAAAAGATGAATATGAATGAACATAGAAATTATTTTTTAAAGGTCTTTACGTAATATATAGAAAATGGAAGAATATTGAAGTGCAAAAACATGAATATAAAAATCATTCGTTAAAAGAGTGACCAAAAAATTACGACAAATTATTTACTTGTACAAGATTGTACGGTGAACTTATTAAAACTATAAACATAAGTTTTTTATAAACTTTTGACGAAATCTTTTTATATGATGTGCTATGTAAAAGTAATGGCTAATAATTTGGAATTAAATTAAGTAGAAAATACGAGATCTATGCACTGCGTTCACCTCCCAGCGAGCACCGAGCAGCAGTTACATTGCGTTTATGTTACAATTTCTCGCATGCGTTATATTACATTTACATTGTTGAGTGAGACATTGTAAAACAAATGCACTGTAATCGATGCTCGGTGTTTACTGGGTTACATACTTTTCTCTTCGTTAATTTTTCTGGCGTGAAAACGCGACGAACATCTATTAATTACCGTTCGCGAATCAATTTCAACAAAAAAATTTCACGATTATTTAGTGCTCGTAGTAATTAGGGGAGGCTGACGTAATCTCTGACTCTCGATATTCAGAATGAGGGGAGAAATTCGTGGTTTCCCCCCCTCCGCGACTGATAAAATCGCGCCGGGCGCAAGTTCAGTTACGATAAGAATCTACAATCTGCCGTTAAATCCGGCGTGAAAACTCGTAGTGTATAACCTTCTCAATGAAATCCTATTCGTACTTTATACATGACAGTAGCGCGGCGCGCCTAATGCCGTAACAATGGACCCTCCATACCGATTTACGGGGAGGGAGAACGTTGCGTGCGGATACACGTAATGCAAATTATTGTTAAAATTTATCATTGTGACAAATTTGTAAGAGTGCAAGTGAATTTATAGACAAACTAAAAGTTAAACAAAAACCTAGACTTATCCAAATCAGAAAAACATTTCTTTTTACATAATTTAATGAAGAGAGGAAAAAGTGATTAATTAATGATATTAAATCTAATAAAGGCGAGATTGCGCGTATCTTAATAAAACTTGTTTTTTTCCCGTCGGTATTCACATCTAAACTCGTATCGTTTGCTCTCTCATTCTCTTCTCAAATTGCTTTCTCTCTCTCTCTCGTCCGAGTTGAAAATAATTACGAATCTCTCTTCTATTTAGCATCGGATAAATGAACGCGTTAAATCGAACCCTCGCTCTCTTACAGATTGATTTCATCTCCCGCTATACGATATACAACGTATAGTTTTGTTCGCAATCGGAAAAGACAACAGACGATTGCGCGGCTTCCTCTCTTCGCTTTGCCAAGAGACTCGTCTTCGGCGTTATCCACGGTACACGGTCTGCTCGCATGCTTTCATATAATATTGATTCGCCGGAGACGAGGTCGCAGGTGAGACTTCCCACGATCGTTGGCCGCATAGAGAGAGAGAGAAAGAGAGAGGGAGAAGGGGAGAAAGAGGGAGAGAGAGAGAGAGATAGGCCGCCGCGGAATTGTCCGTGCGGTCTTCGGATTGTCGTGTGTTTGTGCGCACGAGAAAGTCCAGGAAGCTTCTTGCTTCCCTCAGCGGAAAAATAATACCGTGAGCCAAAGTCGTCTTACGCGACAGAATGAACAACCTCGCGATATATCTTTCTCTCGGATGTCCACTTGAGTCGATCACGTATCTTTATTCCGCGACTGTGGCTCGGCGTTTCATAAATAATCGTTATGTCGTAACGCTTAAACTTAAAACGAGCAAGACCTGGTAACGCTTGACCAAGTTCTTTTTTTTACAACCACATTGATAGAAGATGATTAACAAAATGCGCAAATTTACGAGCGCATTATGAATTTATGGGGACACAAGCGAGACTACGGAAGTCACGGGAGAGACAGCCTCGGGAACGTCCCATACAGCACCAAAGCTTTCAGAAACATTTCAGAAAACATTGTTGCAATGTTTCAATGTTTCTGAAAGCTTCGGTGCTGTATGGGGTAGCACGGATACACGGCGGGAGGACACGTGTACTCGGAAAGTGACAATTTATTTGGTAAAAGTGTCCATTACATAAGATTTAACGCATCGCTCTTAGACAAGATCTTATCTACGAAAGTAAAATCTACGCGCACAGTCGCTACGTCGATGTGACCGTTAATGATGAATTTTCTTCAGCTTCTCCGCGCCGTCGGAGAAGGCTTTGGACATACGAAAGCAGGAAGTTACCTAATTAATTTAACGCTCGCGAACGCGAGAGCCCGATCCGCGGATGATTAGGAACACAATTGTTTTGCTTTGTATCTCTGGCAGTTGGAGATTGAACACAGAAGCGCAGAAACAACGATCGACCCTTTCCTCGCCCGCAACACCTGGCAGAAATGACGCGACACAACGATAGGTAATTCAACGGGGAAAGTAAAAAAAAAATAACAGAAATGATCGACGCTTGCAGCCTCGAAGGGAAAGAAAAGCCTCACCGACTCACATTTATCACATACATACACACACACACATGCACGCACGCACGCACACGATGCGATGACGATGACGATCGACTCCTATCCGTGTCAATGACTAAATAGATGTGCAAATAGAGGTTTTCTTTCTTTCTTTTTGTCTCGCAATGTTGCCGGGTTCTCTCCTACGTTCTACGCGTACGCTTCGACACGAAAACCGTCTAAGGAATCGAGAAGTTTTAATGATTCGATTGAAAAAATTTGGCACTGATCCAGCTGTGAAAAAATATCATCGTACTGTTCTCTGTGACTTCGATTTTTTTTTCTTTTTCCTCGCCTCCCTTCCTTTTCTCTCTGCTAGAATATCGTACAACTGTTATTCCCCCGCAGTTTTATTTCCTGTAATTGCCTTGCGCGTACCGTATGTATTTATATATAATATATTCCCTAACAATACAGTCGATACTTTATTGATAATGCATAAAATACTCTTTCAGTAGTACAAATGCGCGTTGTCGCGTCACAAGATCACGCATCCCCCCTTTTTGTCCCTTTTTTTTTCTTTCTTTTTAGAAATCCTAGCGAACTTTCGACAAGGTCGTCAATCATGAAATTCACCAAATCAGTACGAGCAATACGCGTTGGAGTTCGATACCTCTCATCGTACATTCTTGAGAGGCCGTGAACATTGAGTATTCTTCAACTTTACACCGTAACCTGGATTGTCATTCGAAATACGAACTCGTGGGGGCTTTTCCCAAGAGAGGTAAACGATGATTTTACAAAGCGATGCAACGATAAGAAATGCTTCGTAAAGAATAAAAATTGAACGTAAGCTCTTTTACATTCGAATATACACGACCGCGTGTCTCAATTAAACGCGATAAAAAAAAAAGGGTAACGTGGCTCTCAAGAATGCACGATAATTCGACAAATGTTGTTACGTACTCGCGTGCACAATCGACGCCCACAAGGAAAACTCGGCAGAATTTTGCGTAGTAAACTGATTCTCCCTGAGTGGTGATAAGCTATTCTGTAGGTTTGGTGTTTTCATGTCTACTCCTCCCCCGCACCTCGCTCGTTGAATATACAATATTACTTTAATCTCTCATACAATTTATAAATCTAGATCCCTTACTAAAAGTTTTCTCTTTCGCTTAAAAATCCCGCCTTTACTCGCTAATCGGACTTACAAATTTAGTCGACAGTACAATCGGTTCCCTTATTTATCTTATTGTCCCTCAACCACCTCTAGCGTGTTCGAATCGATGCGAGCTAATACTTTTACGTCAGACGCATTACATCTAGTGTCTTGTAAATAAAAATGCAGGCGGAAAGTTGATATATCGATTTAGAGAACACATCGCTGGATTACGACAAAGAACACAATGTGGTAAAATGTAATCAGTCGATCCCTAGCTCTTTGTAAATCTCCGAGCTCTTTTGCGCCGCTCGACAAACAGTATATCGTAGTCGCTGGAAGGTGGTCTCGGGACAATTTAATTTTTGTACGGCAAATTCGAACATACGTACGTATAATCGTAATTATATAATTCATTCGTTTAACTAGTTTTGCGAGGCTGAGAAATCTCGTATTATGCTCGTAACCACGGTGCAAAAATAAAGCGACAGCATGGGACGTATCATCCTGCGAGTGTATCCTCGACGTTTTCTTTCGTTTTCTTTTCGAATGTACGCAAATACCTATTGCCATCCGCCACCTTTGCTTTCCGCAATTTCAACGACGCGAAGAGGGATTATCCGTGAAATAGTCGGGCCGATCGCAGCGAACACTTGCCGAGCCTCTTTTCCTTCCGCTCCCTTTTACAACTGTCGTTTTACATTGCATGCCATTCTGTGATTTGTTTGCAGTATCACATGCAAATCCCTTCGCCGATTTATAAACGAGCTACATATTATTACATATACCGTAGCCTTTGAGCGGAATACTTTATGTGTTCTTACCAAGTCTTATCTCCTAAAAAATGTTCTACCGTACCGTCTAGCACTTTTGATTTTGCGATTTGCACACGGCGTCGCACGCTCACGGAAATCATAGACACATGATGGTGCGAATAGAAAACCGAAGGCTATCGCGGAAACGCAGCAAAACGAATTCAATTTCGACATATATGCATATTACATCGTTTTTAAGCAACGTAGCTCCGACTTTATACGATCGTGCATCCCATATCTTACACGATTACTCGCAAGTATCGCGATCTCAATACATACACATATACATATACGTATCGCACTAGTATTCACAAGTTTTTGTTAAATATTTGCGTTATCAAGATCGGTGCCGTGGTTCGATCCTGTTATTTTTCGCGCCCTCGATTAATATTACAACCACAATTTACGGAAGGTGCGTTAACATTAACTTAAACCAAGTTCCACTTTGTGGCTGTATGCGGAATAAAATAAGTAATTGATTATCAATCACAATTTTGTTGCTGTCGCGAAATTTGATTCCGAAAAGGTAAAATATTATCAGAAAAAAAATCCCAATTACTGTACAAATCACAATGCTCTCGCGGTTGATACTACAAAAAAAATGCATATAGAAATTGATGTACAGAATTAGTCTATTAGGTTTTACTTATTTAAGTAAATTTGAAATAATGGAAAATAGTTTTAATTTATTCATAAAGTAAATAAGTAATGAATTTTTTATGAATAAATTATTTAATTCAACAAATCAAGTTTTCATCAATATCAAACTTCGATATACAAATTGTAATGTTACATTCAATTACAAATCTGTTTCCCGTAAGTATTGAAAAATGCATAACCAATGATGCAAAATATCGACTACGGAGTCATTGCTATTGATGTGCAATCAAGTAATTAATATAATAACAGTTCGAATATTATGTCTGTAATATTTAATTTAACAGATCAAACGATGGCACACAATCTCCTTCTATTCGCATTCCTCGAGAATTTGTAATGACGAAGTATCGATGAAATCTGCAGGCTCAAAGAATGAAATTGAATGGAGAGGAGGAATGGGATGAAGGGACGGCAGATGAAGTTAAACGGAACGATCATGCGTTCGCTAGAAAATGTCGAATTGCGATCAACCTACTTCACAGCTCTTGTTGGCGAAAGGCAGTGCTCGTCTTGTACATATTTGGGTATCTTCCCCCCATTTTTTTTTACGTGTTTGTATAAGATTAGAATATACATTAAATTAGCTTTGAAATAGGTTGCACTCGATACCATCATCATCATATACAATAGTACACACGCTGCGGTACGTAACGGTGGTACGTTAAAGAAATAGGAAAACTGCACAAGCACATTCGGCTTTAAAATTACGATTCTTGCGGACCATTACGTGTGACAGGAATCGTTGGCATGCACGAACTTATCGAAATCAATGCAATCCGGTGATCCAGTTTTCTCTTCTCTCGATCTCCGGTGTGTTTTTCGTTCACTCTTTTCCCCCTTCCTTTAATTTCTTGCGAAATCTCGCGTATCCTTTTGTCGCACCACCAGAAATACGCGCAGTTACCGTCGTTAGAATGTACACCTACTGTATTATTGCTATTTAACGCGATAGATTAACTTACAATCTAAGATTTGTACATCTGTGGATTTGCTGTTCAATGATGCTTACAAAGAGAGATAGAGTATGTCTCAAAAAAAAAAGTCACGTATCTAATTTTTCTGATTAAAAAGGAAAAACCAATTCAAATTGTCACGCTGTTATGTCCCAGCAATACTTTAGATCAACGTCCTAATCAATTAAAAATTACGTCACAGCAAAATATTTTTAACGCCAGAGAAAACTGAGACAAATCTTTCTAACTGCTTCTTCGTTATAAATCGATTTTTTTTTCGTTACATTATGCATCTCCTATTTGAGCCTCCAGTATATTGTTACAGTTGCAATGTACATATAGCTCGTACGTATAAAAATCGAACGAGATAAAAAAAAAAGGAATTCGCGTTCGCCAGTTGCGGTGCGCACGTGCTACGCTCGATCGCAGACCAATCTCCACGCGTCGCCCGCAGGTACATCGAGAGAAATCAACGCAAAATTATATTTGACATTGCTCTCGGAAAGAGAAGACATGCCATCAAGCCGGCATAAGAGTGTGTATGATCCTGAGCGCGATCGCACTGGCGACCGGTCTTACGAACGGAGACAAGTTTGATGCACTTATCCTGTGCAGCAATACGTCCGATTGTAGGAGTATGGGACACTTTTTGCAAAGAGAGACATTGCACGTGTCCGAAAGTAGACATTGGCGGTCAAGTTTGCTCTAGCATCAACGCGTCTACGCACGGGTAAAATAAGATAAAAAAAAAGAGAAGGAAGATAGCAAAACGAACTATGGTGAACACTTGTTTTGATGCATACTCGAACACAGCATTTCAATGAGATCCACGATAAAATCGCTCTATCAGATAGTGCAAAATATCTAGATTTGTACAGTGTACGTATGATTGTTATATGTATGTAACAACTTTAAGATACTTTGTGAAAAGATATAAAGATACAAATCGAGATATATATCTGTACATTGTAAGCTGCAATCGACATCACTAAAGTGACATTTCTTATCAGGTAGGAAAACGGTTGCCGATAAACGTGGCGTAGAAAAATGTATATCGGTTAATGTCGGCTAATCACGCGAAGAAGCGCAGTTAGGTCTCTCTCTCTTGTGATATAATCGGATCCTTTGATGTCGAGTCATATACGTGGCAACGAATCTCGTTTTAATAATTAACACTCGCGGCTGCCACGTCGTGATTGTATTTACCTTCAGCTGGGCTTGCCCGGTGGCCCGTGGCTAGTCGGCGAGGGCCCATGCGAGTGAATATTATGAACTCCACCCACCTGGTTGCTGGCGAGGCTGGACATGGTGGGCTGATACATCGACGGTATGTAGCTGCTAGACGACTGCGACGCCGACCTGCCGACCGATGCGTGGCGCATAAAAATTACACCCGTAATTGGACGAGGACGCTCTTTACTCACCTCGGCACTCCGCGCAGCGGATCTGGCGTAACAGACGAATTCCGTACCACGCCGGAAGTGTTCGCCGGCGCCGGCGATACTATGTTGCTCGGTTGACTCTGAAGGTACGGAGCTCCGGCCGGACTGTGCCTACATTTCATTGCGAGAATCAAGAATAATTTTCAATCGTTCATTGTTACCGGTATTCTACGAGAAACGGACGCGTTACCTTATCGTGGGGCTTGGTTGAGGCGCGACCAACGATCCTCGATGATACTGCGCGAGAGAAGCGGCCGCAGGTGGGGAAGGATCTGGTGGCAAACCGTTCTCCAACGTCGTCGGGTGACCACTAGAACTCGAGTGGGGCATGTACGTGTTGTTCACTCGCGGTTCACGGCTGACTCTGGGTACTGGCGCCGGAGTGCCGGGTGGCACTTCCGAGTGAACTGAGACACTGGGATGAGACGGATTTACCGCTGGATGTATATTGTTCACTGAAAACAGGGGAAAAAATACATTATGCTAGATCTGTCTTCTCGCGAGCGAAATACTAAAGGTATCGTGGCGTGGCCGATCTAACTAACCTGGATGTGAACTTGGTTGAGTTGTCAACGGAATAGCAAGTCTAGCATTCACAGCCAACAAATGGTCTCTCCTTTGCAGGAGATTATTTACATGTTCCTCTAGCCTAAGGTTCTCAGCTCTCAATTGGTGTAGGCAGGAAAGCAGGGATGCAACTGCAACAGATTTCAATAACGTTGCTTTCTGCTTCGTTTTCTAAGAGTCGAACGCATATTTTTCATTAGAGGCCAGCGCAATATTGTACCATTAGTATCAACGAACTTTAAACAAGTTTCTTTTACGTGACAAAAGTATAAGGTAAAGCGTGGCATGCAGCTTTGGTTTATTTCGAGAAATGACGTGAAAAATAAAGAGCAAAGCGTAGCCTTTTCACCATGCGACGCGTTCTTTTCCCTCTTGCCGTACACTTACTGTCAAAATGTTGAGCTTGCTCCATGAGAAATTGACTTCCCTGCTCCCATTGTCTTTCAAGAAGCTGATCCAACGTCTGCGGAATCGCTCCGCCGCCTAAAGCACCACTGGTACCGGCTGTACTCGTACCGCCACTCGTGGAGAAAACCGAGGAAAATGAAGTGGGCGGTATGCCCGATTGGCTAGATCGTATCTGCTTAATAAGAGGATGAGGCATTAAAAAAAAAACTCTATCTTAGTACAATTGTGTCATAAAAGGATGGAATTGTACCATAAATCAACAAGATTTATGTCGTTTCGTATTTAGTTTGATGTCGTTTTACGTACAGATGCTATTACTCGACTATGCAGCTGCGGTCCGATCAAGTTTGTATTGGAGTTACTCGCCTCTGTAAAAATAGAATGGGCCTCGAGCTCCTGCGAAAGCGTGTCCGACATCTTTTGCGCCATAGTCGAGCTGGGGTTCAGCTGATTCCCCAGCATGTGCGGTGCGCTCACTCCATTTTGAAATCTGAAAAGAGGAAGGCGAAAAACATTCGCATTCCTGGCCCTTCGGCGTGACCAATGAAGGTACTATTACACTTGTCGCGCGAGAAATGTTTTAAGCGCGTCGATTGGCTACAAGCCTAGAAGATCTCTGGACGTTCGAGAACCTTCCTATCCCGCAGCCAATCAACGCGCTCGAAGGCTTTGCCGTACGGCACATTTTTTCAAGAACGTTCTAGATACTCGAGAACTTTACTATTCCAGGACTCTATTCCGTACACGGCTACCGACAACCGTCGACGTGGCTCTATCGCGTAAAAGAGCTGTCGGTAGCCGAGTACAGAACAACGCGCTTGAAAAATTTGTCGTACGACAAATGTAATAGTAACCTAGGGCGTTTTTCTAAATTTGCAATTCTCACAGTTTCACGTTCTCCTCCTTTATCGTGGCGTTAGCGAGAGCGGTCGGCGTGGACGACGCAGATGGGATGGGCGTGGACGCGGCTGCCTTCCTCCTACGTTTGCTGGTATTGCTGCTCATACTCTCCGATCCAGGACTGCTGGGCGGAGACTCCTTGACGGTCGGCCCCATGATGCTCACAGGGCCTAGGCCGCCGATGCTACTGAAGTGTCCGACAGTAGCGGACGCGGGGCCCTGAATGATCGACGGCACCGGGGCCACCGTGGCGGCCGGCGGAGGCGTCTGGTGGTTGTTCCTCGCGCTCCTCTTGGACGTCGTCACGACTGCGGTGCTGGATACGGAGGTTACGATGGATGGGACCGACGGTTGCGACTGCGGCAGTGACGTCTGGCTGTTGGACGAGCCGCGCTTCGGCTTGCGAGGCTTCTCCTGCTTGTCCGACGATTGGGAGCTGAAAGTTTCACGTACGTTAGCGCAACGAATCACCACGTGCCGCGACGCGTCTTCCATCAAGATGCAGATCGTTATTTTGCGTAACAGCTAGCCAGCGGCGTGGCAATACAAAATAAGAAGGAAAAAAAAACCCCGTTATCACTTTACACACACGCGGTCGGAAATGATCCCGATGGAAAGTGCAAATTCGCACGCGCTCTCTCAAACCGTCTAGTGAAACGTGAACGAGAAGATCAACGCACGCTGGGGCGGGCCGTCACGGCAGAGTGCCATTTACGATGTCACGTTACACCCTTGCGTCGCTCGTTGCCCGTGAGGCGCCTCGCCGAGGAAAAAACAAACATAACCTCAACGCCTCCCGCTCGCCACGAACCGCGCCTCGAGTGCCGCCAGCGAATCGAGTCACGGGGGCCACTCGACACCGGCGACGTTTCCACCGTTTTCTTCTCCCTTCCTCACTGCCCCCCCCTTACCCCCTCGCTTCAACGGGGGGTTGCGGCGTTTAACAATATATTACAGTATCACACACAAACACGTCGACGAGGTCGCGACGATTCCGCGATGCAATTATTATGCAGCGCGCGCGCGCGCGCGCACGCAGGGCTCGCTCTCGTCGAATGACCCCGAGTGAACCGTCGTGCTCAATACACAGGCAGCAACGCCGTAAACACGCTCCATCTTCCGTCGCGCGCGGCGACTGGGTGCGCGCGGGCCCGCGAGCGGCGCGGACGCGCGGCGCCCGTCGACGCCGCGTCACGGCGTCCCCCGTCGCTCGATCGGACCCGGGCGAACCCGGTCGGCGAGCACCTCGCGGACGGGCGCCCGGATCTCTCGGCGCGGCCGAGAGGTTAGAACCGCGACCACCTTGTTTACCAATCGCGCCCGCCATTTTGAGCGCGCGCGCGGCGCGTGACAGTCCCGGGGTGCCCGCCGCGCGTCTCTCTCTCTCTCTCTCTCACCCTCGAACCCGAGGAGGCACCTCGTTGCACTTTTACGCACGTACACACCGCACAGATCCTCACTGTACATTCAACGATCCCGACCGCGGGGCACCGGCGCCGAGCAGACGCGCGTCCTTTTTTATCTCGCACTGCAACTCCGCCGCGTCGCGACCGAGTCCCTCGCCGGCGATTCTTCCCTCCGTGGAGCCTCACGTGGCGAAGCCGCGCGGAGAGGAATCGCCGATGCCTCCCCGCGTGAATCCCAGGCACAGGTGGAACACACGTGCGTTCTCCACGTGTGTACACGTAAAATGTAGGGGGGGGGGGAGAGGTCCTCTATTACGAGACAGCAGGTTCTTCAACGCCCAAATTCCATCACGGATACACGCGAGTTTGCGAACACTGATTTTTAACTCGCAAAAAGATTTCCTGTCGCCCAGCAATACGAAACCGACGGTGGTTTATTGAAACCACCTACGCTGGCCAATGTTTTTACTCTAAAGAACTCACGGCGTTTCGGCCCGGGATTTGGAACATTCTCAAGTGTTCTGCAAACATACACAACTTAATACTATTTCTTTTAATAATAAAAAAATACGGCGCAAATAATTATAGCAAGAGCAAACTGCAAGTCCATACCTTTTCACGCAATTTCCATTAATCACATATCGCTCGTTTGGCCAATAAGCCGTGTGTGCGAGCAAGGGAGTCGTAACGCTTTACCTCGTTAACAATTTTTAAGGCTCTATATATAAAACGTTAATTAACAGACGTGATGCAGGGGCAATCGGAGCCAGGCGCTAGATATCGAGTGCGGATACAACGATCTTTTGTATATCGTTCGTTTGAAATCGACTGTGTCAAACGTTTCGACCAACTCACGTGGTCCTCGATGACGATCAACATGTGAAAGAAAAAAACCCATCATGTCGGCAAATCACTATGTGTTACAACGGCCACGATCAGAACATACAATTAGCGGCTTCGTGTAGGAAAGAGAACTTGCCACTGAAAAAAATATTTGTAAAATTACATGATTACGCTGGGTTTTTTCCGACCCAGCATAATCATGCAATATTACTACCCACATGGAAAATTGCAGACTTTTTTTCTGTAATTTTGCATGAGAATTCAAGTGTTTTTACACAAAAATAGTAATTTCACCTATATTTTACCATTAATATGTATTTCCACTTTAAGAAATCTGGAAAAAAAAGTTACAGTTATAATTAGGTAATTTTCCGGATTTGAACAAGTAATTTCCATGTAAAAGTACATTGATTTTTTTCAGTGTGGCGATGAGTGCACGGTTTTTCACATTCAATCACAAATCCCTTTCCGCGAGGATTTACAGTCTATGAATTCTCCGCTAACAATAAGCATATTTCGCTGCAAGGGCAATAAATTCACGGTGGTATCGGCTGATGACGCCTAGTCATTCAACAGAAACCCCGCTGTCCCACATTAGGATCCTATCTCGTGATAGAGGACTCTATAAATGTGATATGTGCACAAATGCACGTGGGGAGGGCATCGGCGATTCCTAGGGTACATGGTAAAAACACTGTTGCACGACGTAATATACATTGTAGCAGATACGTCGCTTCAATCCGCATTTTCGCACGGCGCACCGAGTCCCGCTCCAGTGAACTCCGCTTCTCGCGTCCACGGCGGGGAACTTACCGGGATCGCTTTATCGGCGCGTCCTCCGCGGCGAACCTCTCGATGCTGGGCATCGCGCTCGACCGCGGCTCGGTGTTCGCGGCCGTGGTGATTATGCTCTGCTGCACCTGCTGATACATGGTAGGCGCGCTCGTCACCACGCTCTGGACCGCGCTGGCGAGGGAGGTGGCGATCAACGGCACGGACACGACGATGCTGTTCGACGTGGTCGTGGGCGACTGGGTGACGACCGAGGGCTGGGACTGCGTCACCGACATTATCACAGGCGTGGTGGTGGCCTCCGTGGCGACCGGCGTGCTCGACGACGACTGAATCGGGCTCTCGACCTTCTGCAACGGCAGACGGAAACGGCGTTATCGCCGAGGTCGTGGGGCCGTCGCGCACAAAATCGCATAGCCGCATACGCATAGCACAAGACCAGCTAGATCGACGAGCGTGCAATATGACGATTCAATGCTCGTTGGTTTAGACGGTTCTTACGCTAGGCGCATGCAGCTACGCAATTTTGTGTGCGATGGCCCTTAAGCCCGTATCAGACTACGGATTGGGATTGGGATTAGATTGAAATTTAACCAATCACAGTAAAGTTTACTAATCTCAAGTGCAGTAACTTTTACTCTGATTGGTCAAATTTGATTCTAATCCCAATCTCAATCCGTAGTCTGATACGGGCTTTAGAGTCTCCAGACAAACGTGCATGAGCATAAAAACATGGATCGGTCTATTACCTTACGCATGCATTTATAGTCCAATCGGATTCCTTGTGCGTACGTTTATGCCCTGTGCAAGTTTGCCTGGACCCTTGTATTCTACGGCCACAGTGCGAGCTTCCCGCGGACAATTTATTTTGTCGATGCGCTCAAGAAATATAGATGAAATAAGCGGCGCGATAATTGTGTTTAATTGTACCTTTGTCGTGCGATGCACTGAATAAGCTGCTCTATTCCGAAACGGACGAACTGTTATGCTAATAACTTCTGGAAATTTCTCCATTGCCAAACTCTGTACTTTTCTGTTTCGCGATATGTCCAGAGATATAATTTCCTGTACGGTAAGATCGAGTGTTCGTAAGACCTCTTTATTGTCAACAAAGTCTGATCTGTTTTAATTCGACTACATCCAACAGATCAAAGCGGCCAAATATCTACTTATGTATGCATATCAAGTGATTATTTTGTAGACACGTGTGTCTTCAACGTTAATTTTTCCATGCTTGCAATGCTTGGCATTGTTTCACATTTTTTTATTTTGATCATGTTCTAATTTTTATGATATTCTAGAAATACGATTGACTGTTCTGTAAACATTAACGATACTGTTACGAACTCTGCGCGGATATAATATACCGTAGAAAAGCAGCACAGAACGTCTGGTATCGTTAACGTTTATACACCCTAAATTTTCACGAAGAGCAGGAGCCAAGGTTCAACGACGTACGGACGATTGTTACCTTCTTCGATTTCTCCGGTTCCGTCGTCACGCTTAAGCTAGTAGCTTCGGTGATCGTCGGCTGCACGTTGTTGCTCGGGACGGTCTGCTGCTGCTGCTGCTGCATCATAGTGCTGACCGTTATCACGACCGAGCCGCTGGCCTCCGAGCTGGCCGACTGATTCGAATTCTCGTTTCCCACGGTCGGCGTGCGCGCCCCGGTCTTCCTCTTTTTACTGGTGTGACTCGCCGCCTTGTTGGAGGACGCCGACGAGTTGGACTTGCCCTGGCCCGCGACGCTCTTGTGCGCCGCGTTTGAATTGCCGGCGTTCGTCTTCATCGCCGAGGCAGTCGCCGCCATGGCGACGGTGGTGATCGTACCACCGCCAGCACCGCCGCCACCGCCGCTGCCATCGTGCCCGAACACGCTCTCCGACTGCGTGACAATCGTCTCGACAAAGTTGGAGGTCGTAAACTTGCTGGAACTCGTGGAATTATCTTTGGGCGTATTGCGACCGCTACCGCCGCTCTTGTCGTCCGCGACACCGTTTATCTCTAAACTGGGACTAGCATTGGATTTACTTTTAGAATTCGCGCCGGACTTGGAGCTCGAGCTCTTCCGCTTGCCGCCCGACGACTTTATCGGCGTCTCCGACTCCTTCTCCGGCGACGAGTCCGACGAGCCGTTGTCGGCGGGTATCGGCTTGTACGGCGGTATCGTCTTCACGTTACCGCCCTTTTTCTGGGAACATTAATTAACGTTACATAGCAAAGCTTTCGCGCGCGGCGTGCGATCCAACATCTCGATTGGTACTCGACAATGAATTATTTACCAATTTCGAATAGTGATGCTGACAGTAGCCGCAATATTTAACATTGTCGAGATAATTGCCAGCCTCCTCGCAGAGCAAGCCCAGAGCTTGTGCACAGGTCACATGAAATTGCTGCCTACAGCCCGTTTTGTTGCACTGCATGCAGGCTCCCACGCTTGCCTTATTACCTCTGCCTTGCTCCTCGCAGATGTAACACAACTGAAAAAGAGATTGAATTTCTTAGAAACGGTACAAGGTACGGCAAAGTGTATAGCGACATTGGGCGCAGCGACAACTTGTTTTGTCCCGCGACATCGACGAAGCCGGTTTTACCTTGCTAAATCTTTCCGAAGGGATGAGCTCCAATATGATCGGCTCCATCGTAGTCACGTTACCGAATCGGACTTCCGGAATATAGAGAGCACACACGACATGTGCCCAGCCAGCCTGGTTCGTCCTCTTAAGGGCTCCATTCCGACTCGGACATAACTCGCAGCGCTATTCAAATTACACCCAGCAAAAATATCTCGGTTAAAGCATTCGTACGCTGTCTAAGTAATAAGATAAAGGGTCGAACGTTCCCCACCGAGGGGAAGCATTGTCAAGTGTGTGCGAGCAAGTGTAATCCTTCTTACCACTCGTGCGCTGCGTTCTTGAGACTCGCACTTTCTGCAGTACCACGGTCCCGTTGGTACGGTGACGATGCCATAGCATGCTGCGAAACAACACAACCGTTAACCCTTCAACCGACAGAGCGAGACGGGACTGACATTGCCGCGCGCAAAACAATACCTTGGTGCACAGCGACGGTGCAGCCTTGTCCATCACAGTACACCAACGGATTCTCGGTCCAGCCCCTCTCGTCAGAACACACGCAGCACCCTCCGAGCATCTCCTTCATGCTGTGCCCCAAGCAATTCGGAAGACGAGACTAGCATGAGGAGCTAGGCGACCAACCACGGGCATTGGCTGCGTGTTGCGGGTAGGCTCGTGTCGCGCGGCTCGCACGATCGCATCCTGCCGAGGACGACGGCGGGCGTCCTCCTCTCTCCTCTCTCTCTCTCTCTCTCCTTCTCTCGGTGGGGTCTCGCCACCGCCGCGTGTCTCGGC